ATGGACACTCTTGTTTTCTGCGGGTTTCTCTAAATGTGATTGGTCAATGATGTTGGAGAACTTAGACAGAGGTCGCACAGAGTTACTTTTCATATCATCCTTGTTCTTGTCGAGGTGTCGGTGGCGAGGCTTATGATGGTGATCTATTATAGCGAAATGAAAAGTATTGTATTTACTCGTCATTTCTGAACTAATTCGAACATAAGAAGTATATACGTCATTTTTTTAATAATAAAAATCTGTTTCAGAGTTAGTATGACCAGATGCGGAATTCTTATTCATATATATTATAAAAGAATTCAACTGAAATTGTTCATTCCTTTGCATATGGTTTATCTTTGCCTTAAATTGTGCCTAAATATAGTCACTATGTTTGTTAAGATGATTATAGATGGACCCAGAATTTGAAACATGATTAAGCCAATTTTTTTTTTCTCTCGAACGATTATTCAATGATTTTTTTAATCATATTTAAATAATAAATTTTGGAGAAAATATCTTACCATGACGATAAACACACATATTTTGGCCCAATATCCCGCAACATTTACCGGAAGGACAATCGGAATCCTTCTCGCATAGTATCCCATTGGGTTTCATTTTGGTAAACGATGGCGGCCTTATAGGGCGTGGATTCATAGACCCGGGAAATCCAATAGGACATACGTCATATTCATTCACTGTATGCATATAATGGAAATCGGAAAAAAAAATAATGAAAGCAAAATAAATACATAAAATAAAGCTAAAAAGTAAATTAACAAAACTGTACGTTTACCTGCAAATCCAGTCACTACAAAGACAATAGAATATAAAACAAAGCACTGATGGTTCCTCATATTTAGACTATCCTTCCTAGAATATCAGTCTTGTTACGCGCTTATTTGTTTTTCCTACTCGTTATTAGAACATTTTTCCTTGTCCTCACACCGTATTAAGATCTCTCTAAATACTATATGCCGCAAGATTAGATCGATAACATTCAACTAAATGTAGGGAATTCGGCGGAGTAATATCTTTTAATAAATATATTTAATATTTAAAAAAAATCTCACATCAGAATAACCAGATTCTACAGATTTTAATTTGCTGCTGACTTGTTTTACTGTGTGTTTCATTGCAAAGAAGGTGGCATTTGCACATTTTGTTTCCAGGCAACCTGTTTTTACTGTTAGAAATACAAGTATATGTATTGGAAACATAAGAAGAAACATCTAGCAATAATGTATCTGCGAGATACTGTTACAGGTTTATAAAATCAATATTGGTATTTTTACAAATCTGTCAGAAAATGATATTCCACTCATTATACTTGAGCTTGTTAAATACTATATCAAATTGTGATGTTTTGGTTTCTATATACAATTAACATATCATATCTTTGTATTTTTCTTGTGTGCAAATTCATTCTACCTTTTCGAAGTACACGTCTTTCTCTCTCTCTCTTTCATCTCTTATTATATAACATATGCTATGTCATATAAAATTTCAGTAACAACAATCTAACAAACATAATATTAAACTGATATCAAGAAGTTAATAGAAATGAAAAACAATCTCCATCTTTTCCATTGTAATACTACGATAAAAATATTTAAATTGGCTAAATCTAAATTCATCGCATTTATTAAAGAATGATATATTTTTTCGACAAGTCTTTTCCATCATAAACAATTGGTGTACCTAAGGCATGCCAAAGTTATATAAATATCGATGTTGAATATGTTTAAAAAATGGAATAAATTATGAAATCCATCTCAATATTTGCATTTAAAATAAAGTTATCATTTATTTTAATACCAGTCATCCATAAACGATACCAGGTAAGCTAGATTAAGATGAACCTTTGGTTAAATTACAGATTTTCTTGTGTACTATCTCCATATTAAACAAAAAAAAAAACAAAAAAAAAAAAAAAAAAAAACAATGAACATGATTAGGGTTTTAACTAAAATATAAAACGTTGAATACCAAGTCCCTATCTTTACTCCTTACAGAAATATTAACTACTGTAAAGGAGAACCTTCAGAGGTACTGTGCTAAAGCATATTCTAGAAGTGGTGTCAATCAGAGGTGGTTCTCAAAAAACTCCAAAGAACTTAAAATCACCAAATTTTTCAAAAGTCAATAACATCAAAATATATGATTTCTCTACACTTTATACAACCATTCTTTGTAATGTCATGGATAACTGCTTCTTGAATAAAAATGTTACTCGGATTTTTGTATCTTGTGACAAGTCATCAACAAAATCAGTTTGTTAAACATCACTCTGTTCTACACACAAGTACTCTGTAGTTGATATTAAAATGATGCTTGAATTATTAATTGACAATATTTATGTAACATTTGGAGAGCAGGTCTTCCAAAGACTGTTAGAATTTCAATGGACACTGATTCTGCTCCATTATTAGCCGACCTGTTTTTATATTCCCTATGAAGCAGAATTTATTTAAAAAGTTTCTACACCAGAAGAAAACACTTGCTGTGGCCTTCAACTCGACAGATATATCGACGAAGTTTTATCAATTAACAATACTTACCTCAATTCATATGTCGACTCGATATATGCCAGTGAACTTGAAATGGAAGACACCACAGAATATGCCAAATCCGTTTCATATTTGGATGTTTTACTGACTAAAGACGATAAGGGCAAACTAACAAAATAATTGTATGACAAACGAGATGACTTTAACTTTTCCATCGTCAACTTTCCTTATGTATTAATATTTCGCTATCACCTGCATATGGTGTTTACGTCTCCCATATCATTCAATACTCAAGAAAATGCTCTGAGTACTATCATTTTTTAAACAGAGGCAGGGTTCTGACAGATAAGATGATGTTACAGGGATTTCAAGCAACTCGATTAAAGTCAGCATTCCATAAATTCATACTAATTGTTAGGCCTTTGTTTGTTTGTTTTTTTTTTTACTTAATTTGACTAATTTGAATGTTCTGTCAACCTGATCAATACATAGGGTTAACTGCGCGTGTGACCTGTCAACAGGGGATTTTTAGAGGTCTGTGATTGCTCTGGAATTTCCGGAGGTCTGTGTTGTATGCCATGTTCACGATTTTTATTGTTTGTCTATTTTATTTTAGATCACTGTTCGTTATATTTACCTTTTTCATTCCAATGATATGACTGATTGCAAATACCGTGTTTGATTCGGGTCCGAGGAACAGCATACTGGTATTTATCTTCAAAATAAAGGGGTTGACTCAATTCACAGTCATTATTGCAAAATTACATTCTGTGTAGAACCAAAACGGGTATGCAAAATAATATGATAATTTTTCTGAAACATAAAAATCCAGACTTTCAAAATATAGAGAATTTACACTTACCTGCCCTTGATTGAACATTAGGTATGCATGAGAGGTGGAGCTAAAATTGGAAGAATGGGTCTAAATATTAGACTTGATAATAACTTTGATATGTATTAAAAAAAATAAGAGAGCACTCTTTACTATCTTCTTCTTTATTCTGTATGGCAAAAGTGCACTATTTACAAAGGTTTAAAATGAAGTTAAAAATATGAGCACGTCATGCAAGTAAAGAATATTTCAAATCAATACCCGAGCACAGTATCCTAGTTAGCACAAGATAAGTTACCTTATTAGTCGTGTGACGAAATTTAGTATTCACAGTTATATGGTATAGTTTGTAATTGGTTACAACAGAAATAGAGCGAATATAGGAGGAAGCAGTTTTTTTTTCGCTTTTAAACCATCAGCGCTTGTTTGTCTATTAATCTATGTTTGAAAAAAAAACCATTAGTAATGCAAATATACAACTAATGTTAAAAGGAGAACAATAGACAAACATGCGCTGACTATGGATAAAGTCAGTAAAAAAGGAGGCGTCCTCATAATCGTAGTGATGAAATAGTGATGACACCCGCCTTTGAAAACAGGTTCGTACTTCATAAATACATACTTTTATTTAATGTAATTACGTAAAGTTGTAGATAAGATGTTGACCATTCTTGCAATTAAAAGAAAAATGCTTGTTTTGAAAGTTTATTTGTCGCAATTTTCGCATGTTCTTAAGTGCAGTCATCCTTTGAAACCAATCTTACATTACTGAAAGTTTTATAACTTTTGAAATTAAAAACAATCTGCATGTTTTACTTATGATAAAAACATACTTTCATAGAACAACAAATTAAAGGTGAGGGGACATATTTTAACAAACATGGATTACAAGTTGTAATTTGTTATCCATACTGGAATATTGTATTATATCCCAATTAGTTAACATCAAAAAGGCAGTTTTGCTCAGTTCAAACTTTCAGTGATAGATTACTGATTAACTATATGTGTATATGGAAACTGACAGATGGAATAGAATTAAAATAGATAAAAGAATATGTAGATTATGCAGATAGCAGATTGGAGATAAATAACATTCATATTTCTGTTGTTGCAATTTTTTTAAATAAGCCAAAAATTTTTTTTCACTAACAGATGATCTAAATTTTCTTTAATATTGCTGAACACCGAAATTTGTCATTAACCAATAAATTTTGTTATTTCATATAAATCAAAAACAAGTAAAAGATTTACTATTGCTTATAACTTACATTGTTATTTACTTTGTTTACTCAGCAATTCTTTAAGATTCATTGTTTATTGTTTATGTTCTATATTTTGTGTAAAATTTAACAAAAAGGAAATACAAGTTATTGTCATTCTCATTCAGAAGAGATTTTCAGTTTTTTTTTAAACAAAATTTTATTCAACAGTTTACAATGTATGTCTTAAAAATGTTTAAAACATTTACTCATTCTTTCCAACCCTTTACATTTTTGAGATTTCATTCACTCATGAACAAGAAAAAATTAGTTAATGCATATGCTGTCTCGTAAACAAACAAGTTATATATATATATATATATATATATATATATATATATATATATATATATATATATATATATATATATATATATATATATATCACATAGACAGACACACAGACAGACAGACTCTTTCATTATCGATTTTTCCTTGGTGACATGAAGACATTTGACCCCATGTTAGGAATCGGCAGCTTCTTCTTCTGGAGTATTTTCACTATTGCCATCCGACTCAGATGGTATATTATCATAGTTTGGATTATCTCCATATTGTTCTACTAGATCAATATTGTCGCCTAATTTAATAGCTTTTTTGTAATTATAAAAATACAGTCCTAATATTCCAATTGCTAATCCAGCAATGAAGAGGGAAAGGGCTACGCCAGCCATGGCTCCTGAAACAGTTAACCAAAAGACATTATTTTAAACAGTAATGGAATTTATCCTTTAACATACGTTTTGTATAAAAATAAATACTGTAAATCATGTTGTATTTTTGCATAATTCCGCGAGACCGTCTGCTCGCTTATAATTCTAAATATTATAGATACATAAGCAATAAACAATTAAAATTCATTAAAAAAAATGTTTCCCCTATAAATACCAAACAAAAATCTCGCTAATATAACGTGTCGTGAAAATTTAGTGATCTACAGTTCATACTGTAGCATCTGATAAGAGATCAAAAATTTTAATCTGCCGTTACCTGGACTGTAGCCGTTGGCCTGGCTCCTACTAGAAGTCTGAGCTTTGTTGATACTAGGTCCAGAATAGGACGACGGATTGTAGAATCTCCCTTTTAAAAAAAGACTTTTATTCAGCACTATCAAATAAACAGTCGATAAATGTTAACTCCAAGTTGAGGACAGTCCATTCTTTTAAAAAGATTTCGCAACGCTATGATGAAGTATGGTATTTTGCCACAAGGTCATGATAATGGGACAAGAAAACAATATATCTTTTTTCATACAAGACAAACATTTTCATAGGAAAACTTTCAATGTCACTTTGCAAATAAATTCATAGATTTTTTCGTTTTTTAAAGACAAATCTTTAAAGTTTCTTTATACGAATTCGAATTTTTTTCACTGAAAAATTATAACGAGGTAAAATTTTCTCTCAATTGTATAAATGGTAAAATTACAGGAATCTAATAATAACTATAATTCTGAATTGAAGGACTACGCACAATTCATTTGAAAAAAAAAATACGAATATAAAGTCTTTAATTTTATATGGAGTTTTACTTTAACTTACTGGAATACAAGTCACACGTGTCACTCTGGGACACAGAGTTACCAGCTTGTCTTGGATGAGATGATGTCAGTCTACATAATGACGTCATATTACAGTAGGCAAAGCTTCTACAAGCTGACCCCTCTTGCTCCACACACAATTTGGCACATTGAGAACTCGATACATTCGAAAACTCCAACACATTTGCAAATGTCATTGTCTTTCTTTGCAATAATTTGAAATCATGAATAAAGTTTTCTGTAAAAAAAAAAAATAGATGTTTGATTTGTAATACTTATTTTAAAAAATCAGAAGAGAATTTAGGCCTAGTTAATTAATACGCGTAGCAGTCATTGCACGTGTATTGTATTGCTTATATAGCACTGTTATTTTAAAACAATATCGTAAGTTTTGTGATTATGTTAAGTTTTCTCGTGTTTCTTTGACTTATACATATTCATTATATTTATAATTTATTTTTTGATAAATTTAAAGGAACATAATTATATTTCAGCAAGTAAAAGTGATCAGTAATAATTGTGAAAGATACAGTCCATTCCTACTCGCCTACTTACTACTATAGAAAGTACATGTTAGACTTGGTGAAGCTGCAGTGGCCTCCAGGTCGAGCTCATGTACCTTCAACAAAAGACAGTTCTTTGTGCTTGTACAATATTCAAATGATTTGCAGGGGAATTTGGTGTACTGTGAACACATTTTAGCGCATAAGTTTGCTGTAGGTACATTGGGAATGGTTGCGTCTGCTTTGACGGAATATGTCACTCCGGAAGACACGGTGTACTGATCCAAAAAGTAACCTAAAATATCAAAAGTTACTGCTTTACGTGTTTAGTATGATTTTCTGGATTAATCATAAACAATTTTGTGAAACCACGTGACTTACGTGAGTACAAGTCACAGTATTCTTGACGTTGGGCTATTCCAGAGGAGTTATCAGCGTGGATGTGACTAAGAAAACAATCTCCAAGATCAAAACAGTAACTGAAAGAAAGACACTCATATTCCAAGTTCGATATACAGCGCCTCGCGCAGTCCTCTACCGAAATTCCGCTAAAAGACGTGTCCGTTTTTGTGAAAATGAAGTACTGCCTATATATGTAGAAATGTGTTAGAAGTAGATCTGAAATGTAAAGGATACAAAACGGAGTAAAAGACAACAGGTTACTAGTAACCCAACTTATACAATATAGAAATGCTTCTTGTAACGGAATTTTTAGTCAAAAAACATTCCTACGACATGAGTTTTTCTAGAAAACATCATTATCATCATTATAAGTAATGCACTATGGCAATAGAAGAATAAAATAAATACTCAGTACTTGACTCGTTTGGTCTTCCATTTCTCAAAACACTAGTTCGGACCATTGTTGCATTGAAGGTCTTAAAACAAAAATAATTCATCAGAGCATTTCTGAAAGTTAAGTCGAGTATTGGTACGTGTATCAGTATGTCGATCTTACAATGATATTAACATTCTTGTCAATCTTTTATTGATACGTACATAGACCGATGTCCCATAACTAACGGGGAATTGGTACTCTCCGCCGTACACCGCGTTTGAAATTCTGGAAAGAGCTTCATCGACGGTAGGCTGAACTGCGATTGTAGAATTTACGGTTCCTGATTGAAGAGTCAAGAAAAAGACAGATTTTAACATGTGACCTGTACTTGTCAGAAACAGTGATTATAGCGGTAAATGTGGTAACTAATGCTATAAGGTTTTTTTAAAATTATTTTTCAAATTACAGTTGATAACTTCCAAATTTTAGTATATATTTTTCAGTTATGATGATCCTACGAAATTTTCATTAAAAAATGCTAAAATAACAATAAAAATATGACTCCAAAATAATACTAGTATTTCTAAAAATAGTAAGTACTTGAGTAATGGTCACACGATAATGCAGTGTAGAGTAAAGGACCGGAATCGACATGAGACTGACTAATTACACATGTTGAGCTCGAAACACAGAAATAGAATCCTTGGCAAAGGAAATTCTGGTTTTGCCGACACTGATTGGCACATGCCGCAGCTGATGTAATCTTGGAAATTGTGGCAGCGCTCTTTGGTGGATGCATGCCTTTTTCTGTTAATGTGAAATCATCTGAAAACAGAATTTTAATCTAAATCAGAACTACTTTAGTTCACCACGTATGTAAATTCCATTTATTGAAATGTCTGCTAATTTAATCGATTGTCTGTCTTGATCAATGAACACTTAAGGAGGTTGGATCCTGTCATCAAAAGTAATGAGAATTTTTTATCAAGTATATTTTTAGAATCTACACACATAGCTTAATTAAAAATCGAAACAAAAAGGGGGTCAATGCACTTCTTTTGGCGCTACAGAGCATTTAGTTTGACCTTTTTGCACTGTAAATACGTCTCACACATAAATCAATTTTTAAAGTTTTTCCTCCAATATTTTTATTCAAATAAACTATGGAAACAGAAGCACAGTCTTATTTGATCTTGAATAGATACATTAAAATTTTTGACAACAGAAAATTTTCAAATTACTTCGCATGTTCAATTATTTGACCTTTTTGCACTCAAAAAAATATCTTTTTTCTGGCATTAAATATTTAACAAGCAATAAAATCATTTGAAAGTAATGACAATTTACTGAATTTAAGAAGAATGGTTAAAAGTGTCTTATATACGCGGAAAAGAAAATTTAAAATGGGGGTCTGTGATGTTAATTTTTAGATATTACTAAAATAGTGCTAATTTTAAGCTTAAATTAGGGCTATTTCTTTCTGGATTTTCACAATATATTTGCTATATTGATCAAATATGATGATAGAATTCATGATAGTTTATTTATTAAATAATTTAGGACCAGCATAAAATAGTTCACGGCACATAATAACTGTGTGCAGACTGCATGTAAAAATAGGAATCCAAACTTAACATACTTTAAATACTTTGAAAGAAAAAAAAATGATCATTTTCTTCTAAAAAAAACCTTCCGCCACAAAATATAGTTCCTCACTTAATGCTTTTGGTATGGAATTTGATCATGCAGTTTTAACTGAATATAGTTTAATTGGTATTGTAGAATCCAAATGTATTGTAAAAATTAAAACATTATGCAGAATTTTTAAAAAATATAGTTTAAGACAACAATATGCTCAAAAGCTCAGGAGCGAACCTCGTTAAAAACTTATGGTCGAAAGCTCTAGACATTTTTGCATAACCTTTTATTCATCTTGTTAACTAAATGTGCTTGTAACATTTAGACAAGGCCTCTTTAAATACCGCTTTGTGATTTTTCAAGAATTCTTAAAAGGATACCTAATTAAAGAACATCATACTGTGACGTATAGACAATTGTTCAAGATTCATTTCTGCAAGTCTAAAGTAATAAAATATTTTAAAGTCAAAGTGAATATTTTACGCACCGATGCTTGGAGCTGGGTCAACAAGTGTTCCAATAAGAAATATGTATGGCGCGTAGCTATCGTACGAAACCTCCAAGTTTTGAAACCGTAGAGGCGAGGCTTTAGATGACTCCGCCATCATAATTCTAACTGCCTTCTCAAAGGTTTTTAGATTGACGTCTAAGTAAGGATGATAACTACCTACACGTAGTGGAAAAAAAGAGATCAAAGATATATTACAATTAAAAACATAATGGAATATTACATAAATAAGAATATCAGAATGGAAATAATACTCTCTTCCACACAAATATTGTTTCATATTTGCCAAATTTTGTGCTAAATTCTACCATAATATATCATAATATATATATACATATGATATATATGTTTTCATAAACAAATGTCTTTTGTAAATACAGACCATTGAATACCATGACAAAGTTTTCTTGTTTGTCCGCAGTGAAGCATGGCGTGATATCGAAATTCTTCAAATCAGGGTCTTCTTCGTTAAAGTTGTAGAAATTATAAGTCATGAAGAGGCCAACCTAAAAGTATGTAGCGACATGAATGTATACCACTGCTTGTCATCTGAACATATGTATTTTTGATCAACGATGTGCTAGTATTAGGCAGTTCTACATACATGTAAATATATAATGTAATCCTGAATTGATGTATGCATACTGATTTAACAGTTTTGCTAATGTGTACCTCTTCTTACTATTTCGGTAGATGTCGTATTTTAACATACCTTGAGTTTAATCCTATTCATGTTTTAAGTTTACACTCAATGTAATACAACCTCTTCTTTGAGATATTACAAATAATATTTACCAGAGAAATATAACATTGGCACAGGAAAAGCGGAACATCCCCTCGTAAAAGCATATGATAAATATATGCAATAGAGAACAGAGCGGATAAGATTCCCCTTTTGGCAAAAGAACACCTCAACCCCGACATAAATTGTAGTTTGCATAACTTCCGTTACGCACGCACTCACTCTCCCTCCCCCTCCCCCACTCCACACACACAAGCGTGTTACCATATTCCCTCTAATTCGCTGTAAAGGGATAACAATGAAACCAGGTGTTTCTGACGAGACTGTATTTCTAGTAGTATGTACTTATAACAGAGCACTTGAACTTGAAACTTAAGACAACAGTAATAGATAAAATCTTTGGTTTAGTCTCTGTGTGGCAATTTTTATAGCAATCTGACTAAAACTTGAGGAAGAGTAGCCTTTTAATAGAATTTCACAGAAATTTTCTATTGATAGTAACAAAATTGTTCATCAAATTCATTGAACAGAATTGTGTATCACATTAAATAGTCTACGTGTGTAATATTTTGTTTTGTAATAAGTACAAAACTGTACAAAAAGTATCGTTTTTAAAGAATTTCACAAAATATTCTATCTTTAGTAACTATGGAACACTGTTCATTGAAATAAAAAACATGCAGAGAATTATGTATACCTTAGTATAGTCTACTTGTGTAGAAAGTTCTGTTGAACTAAGACCGAAACTGTTCGAGGATTAGCATTTTGAAAAATTGTTTACAGACATATAGACAGACAGACGAACAGACAAAGCTAGACGTACGAAAGACTGACACCTTACTATCGCGAAAGCTCTTCTGGTCTCTGACCAGTAGAGCTGAAAATCAGTCAATACCTCAACTGACGATATTGTCAGTTTGACTGGTTGTGAGTTTACACACCTTGCCTAAAAATATTGTCAGCTCGGTTGGTTGTGAGTTTACTGGAGATATTGCCAGTTTGATTGGCACCTGAGGATATTGACAGATCGATTGTCAATTGAGGACATAATGTTTGATTGGCAGCTGAGGATGTTGACAATTTGATTGGCTGTATGTTTATATATCTCAGCTGAGGATGTTGTCAATTTGATTGGCTGTGCGTTTATATACCTCAGCTGAGAATGTTATCAATTTGATTGGTTGTGTGTTTTTATATCTCAGCTGAGGTTGTTGTCAATTTGATTGGTTGTGTGTTTTTATACCTCAGCTGAGGATGTTGTCAATTTGATTGGCTGTGCGTTTATATACCTCAGCTGAGGATGTTGTCAATTTGATTGGCTGTGTGTTTATATACCTCAGCTGAGGATGTTGTCAATTTAATTGGTTGTATGTTTACATACATAGGTTAAGGAAATTGTCAGCGGATGTTTGGCTACATATTTCAGCTAAAGATATTATCACTCTGATTGCTTTTAAGTTACATACAACGGCTATGAATATTGTCATTTTGATTGGTTCTGAGTTTACATACTTCACCTGAGGATATTGTCAGTTTGGTTCTGAGTTTTCATATACTTCACTTGAGGATATTGTAATTTTGACTATTTCTGAGTTTACATATCTTGCCTGAGGATATTGTCAGTTTGACTGGTTCTGAGTTTACCTACTTCTGTTAAGGATATTGCCTGTTTGACTGGCTGTAAGTTTACCTACCTCTGCTGAGGATATTGTCAGTTTGACTGGTTCTAAGTTTACCTATCTCTGCTGAGGATATTGTCAGTTTGACTGGTTCTGAGTTTACCTATTTCTGCTGAGGTTATTGCCATTTTGACTGGTTCTGAGTTTACCTACCTCTGCTGAGGATATTGTCAGTTTGACTGGCTGTGAGTTTACAGGATTGGGATCTGTATCGGATGTTTGTGACCAGCTGTCCTAAAAACAATTCGATGATAAAATAATTCTCTTATTTACAACATCTATTTTCCACCATCATCAAAGTTTTCAGAAAAGGTACAGAAAGAACTCAATCTGTATTACTAATAAAAGTATACTCCATTTGTCTACCTTATCAGATATTAATGTCTGAGAATTTCAAGATCAGCAGGATTTTTTTTTCTGAATAGAATACACAATATCCCTTTTCTTATGAAAAGGGTGAAGAAGACAACGAACATTGATCGATCTCAAAACTCTTAAAAACAATACACATTTTGTTTTTGTGTGTTTGTAAACAGGGTATAAGACACGGACGCCTGGAAACTCAAAAGATAGGATCAGGTGCATCCCCTGCATCCCCTGTTCACCGGTCACATCTGCCGTCAGCAGTCAGAAGTAGTCCGTAGTCAAATTAATCATAAAACAATTGTCTAACATATAGTATGAAACTTGTTAGCCGAGGTACGACAAATGATAGCTTGTATTTTGCAAACAGGTTTATTATAACTACCACAGAAATTTCGAAATGCTGACTATAAAGGAGATGGTTGAAATCACTGTAACATCAACTTATTTGTCAGTAGCCCTTCTCAATTTAAAAATTGATCATGCTCTTGCGTATCGAATAAGTTGGGAGTCATTAACACCATATGAAGGTGATAGTAATACATAAATTAGGAAAGTTGACAATCGAGAGTTTGAAGTCATACCATTTGTCAAAAAAGTTAAGTTGTTAATTGGCCATTATCGTCTACCAAAAGAAGAATATCCAAATATAAAACAGATATGACAGACTCTTTGGTGTCTTTTATTTCGAGTTCACTTGTATATATCGAGTCGACATATAAATGAAAGTAATTATCGATAAATGATAAAACGTCGTTGATTTATCTAAATGTCGAGTTGAAGGCCACAGCAAGCGTCTTCTTCTCTTGTAGAAGTTTTTGAATAAATTATAGGTCGGCCAATAAAGAAGCAGTCAGCAATATTCACCTTCTTTTAATTATCTTTGTATTGTTTCACATTTCTTTCTAGTTTTCGGAACGAAATCTGATCTTGACAAGAATAATAACTATATGGAAAATGAGGTACAGGGTCTAAGCAGTCATCCTAACTTTTTTTTCTGAATCACATTATCCTATTTTTTTCCCTGATCTTAGTATTACCTTCTAAAACTAGAAAACCCCAATACAGTCCTTTATTCTTAAAAGAAAATTTCCTTATCTTTGTAGAATTTTTTACACCCATGGTGGTCCCATTCGGTCTTTCCCAAAAGTAAATGTATGAGCAAACTTGAATCTACTCTAGAAGAAATGCTTGCATACAAATATGACTATTTGTTGTCTTGTAGTTATTGAGAAAAGGCATTATTAAAGAATTTCCTTACATTCAATGTAAAAAATTTTACCACTATTTTTGTCTCATCCATGCAACAAATGCCATGATTTGGACAGACTTTAATTTACACTACATCACGATGCTTAAACATTGTGTATTGTCAATTGGTAGACGTGTACTTCTTGTGAAGATTTTTAAAGATTTTCCTATAAAGTGCATTTCTTCGTAAGACTCTTGCCACTTCTGTGCCCTCATCCCTTTTTTCTAGAGGACATGGTTTGAACAAATTTGAATACTATTATACATGTACAATTTTGTAGAATGAAGCTTCGATTAAGTTTTGACGTTACCTAAGAATACAAAAGAGGCAAAAGACTTAAAACTTTTTTTTTTCATTATAAAATTCAGGTAACCCAAAAATTTAGAAAAAATCTAAATATGTACTTAAAAATAATTTAGAAAGTTGCTAAGCAATGAAAGTAATTAATAAGAAGGCACTCACCGTCATGAAAAAGAACTGAAGAACACTGGTGAAGGTTTGGGTGATGGATGGGACTTTAAAGTCCGTTGTAGTCGCTTCAAACACGTCACAAAGCATACCACGTACTGTTCTCTAAACAATGTCAACCAATCAATATTGTTTTCTTTTGGCGTTGCCAAAAATGAATATGTTAAAAGAATATGGGCATTCTCTATTCTGAGTGTTAGTTTACAGTAGTTGCGGAGTTCACCAGAATCATGATTTGTCAGCACGTATCTGTATATGTGGCAGTCAAGTAAATAAATATTTTATTTCAAATGATACACCGAGTTGGCAGTATTTCAGCCATATTTTGACATTTATATTGCAACTTAAGTATATTTCAAATGAAATGTCTACAAAAGAGAGACCTATGACCATAAAACAACTATTTTTTCGGAGGTCCAAACCATGTATAAAGACAAGGGATTATTATTTTTCGAATTCTACAAAAGCTTTGGCAAAGATTTTGACTATTATAATATTTTTTTTATTTGTTGTTTCCTTTTTAGTTTGGTTTGTGGGTTTCTTTCTGTACTTAAGGATGACGTTTACTCAGTTGACAGAAACGGATTGCTATAAAACACACTTTCTTAAAATCAAAAATTGTTCTAAATGGACAAAATAGGCAAGAAATAATGCAAAATCAATATAAAAGTTTAATGTTTCACTATTTGAAGTATGCCAAAACAAAGGTAAATTTATGGTGATGTAGAGGAAATTCGGACTAAATTTTGCGACTTTGCATTATTAGAGGGAAAAATATCAAAAATATTAACAAAAATCATTCAAGATAACCTATCTCGAGATTTTCATCACTGACCTCATATAATTTTAATACCAGCAAAAAAGAAAAAAAGAAAAAAAAAGAAAAAAAAAGCGCGGGACAATGCATGTAAATTATTGCAATAAATAATTTAGAGTTCATATCATTCAGATTTTCGTTATATTAGATTTAAATTGAGAAAATTTTGAAAATCGACAGAGAAAATTCGGACTGAAATAATTTAACAAGTTTATTGCTCAAACTCAAAATATTAATTTATATTTATAGCAACTTTATTCCAATTTCACCATATTTTATTATCAAGAGAGTTTCGTTATTTAGCATTGTTCATCAATAAAGAAAATATTGGTCATAGTGTAAAAAATAAAGGTATTTTCCAAGAAATACCCAGGAGCATATTAAAGCAGGTCATTGACCTAGTTATTTGAATGTGAATAACACTACAATCATAAACACTACAATGCACAAAAGGTAGTTTTTCATTCCTATCAGTGGATTTTTTTTGTCATCTGAGTAAACGTCATGACAGCTATAGGAAAAACATACTTGTCCTGCCCAGCGGTATGATTCATTCAAGGAGAATATGTCGAGTGGTCCCTTCATCTTTATTACAAAAGCTCCATTTTTCATCATGGCGGCTTTGTCTTGTTCTGTTCCAAAGGATCCTAGCTGTATAGAATTTACTGAGCAGTTTCCAAGAGACCGATCAATGGTGTATGATATACCTTAAATACAAGTAAACACCATAAAAACGCAAATATGACCATTATAATTCAGCAAGAACAAAAATGTCATAAGAACAAGAACTAATATTGATACATTTGGATAATCAAAATGTGACCGTTACCTGTATTGAAATCCTCTATCGTGGTGGTGGGATTTGTTGTGTAAAAAGGCGGAGTAGGCTCTGTATTTGTCAAATCGAACCTGACCAATCCGTAGGTCATATCGTACCAAACCTTATAAATAAACATTGTATTGTAAATTTTCAAATTATTTATTTACTTTTTTAATTATTCATTAGCGTATTATTATCATACGCTATTTAATCGTTAAACAATTTATAATTACTTAACTTATTAGATCATACTTCTCAGAAAACGTTGTATAGCTTAATTACATGCACAAAAGTTGATATCAAAGTATCAGACATCTAAGGGAGATTTTGTAAGCTTACATTAGAGGATATCACATTTTGTGTGGCTGGATCAACTATTTCTAATCCGTAGGAAAATTGTCCTGTTATGGAGGGTAAAGATACATTCTCCATCCAACCTTCAATATTCAAATTCGTCTACATAAAGACACTCCAATACAAAAACAAAGATTCTTTTTACTTAACACCATTACTCCATGTAATAAGATGTTATAACTTACCAAACAGAATTCTAATGTCTACTGCATAGGAGTCAAAGGTCTGCATGAAAAGAAATCAATCTAATTAATAATTTAAACTTAATTATGAAATATGTACAGTGTATATAAATTTGTGCAATGGAGAAGTTTAATTAATAAGTGACTTTTAAACCTCTTCTAAGGCTAAACCCAACCTGTTGTCCAAAAAGTTAATATAACCAGGTTCCATGACCATAAACTGAGAACAAACTGCAGTTCAAATTTCAAATCAATACATTATTTAAAACAATTTTGATATTGAAACAAATTTTTCAACTTGTGCATGAATTTGTGTATTATGCATACCTTCAAATTTTCATGCACATTTGTGAATATTTACTCAAGATATTCAAAATCAAAGTTTTGACTTTAGTTTGTTCTCAGTTTATGGTCTTGGGGCCTGGTGTCCCAAAGTCAATCTAACATGTTACTTTAATTTAAGATTATCAAATTTGCTGACCTCTTGTAGGTGTAATCTAACATGATTTTGGACTTTTCTACTGAGGTTAATCTAACAAGTTGCCTCAAAGGTAATAAACGCTAATCTTATCTGGTTTTGATTTAAAGATTTATCTAAGCTTTTTGTTTTCTTCTTCTAGGTTAATTTTCCTCTCATTTACTTTTCCTCTAAGTTAAAGTAACCTCTTTTTTTAAAACCCTTTCTGGGGTAAAACTTACCTTTTGTCATAAGGTTAATCCAGTCAGTTGATCTCTTGTATTTTAATCTAGCTTCTTCTGAAGTTTATCTAATCTAATGTTTAAGTCTTCTAACGTAAATCTAATCTAATTTTTGACCTCTCCTGGGGTTAATCTAACCTGTATTTTACCTGTTGTCCGAAGATTTGAAGTCGGAATTTCTTTTGATAAACAGCCGTCTTCAAATTATCGTATGCCTCATCTACCGGTGTTTCTTGAACTGTTGGCCCGTTTATATTTCCTGGAAAAAAGTGCTAGAATAAAAATACACAATATCTGTAGAGGTGCTGCTTTTCAACTTACCATTGCCATTTCATAAACTCATTACCTTTCTCAACCAAAAAGATAAATTTCTTTTTTTTTATTCGGATATATCACCATCTGTTCAAATCATATATTAAATCTACTTTTGTTATAGATTTATTGTATTATGAAATCCATACCACTAATATCATATCTCAAGAAAAGAATACTTCACTGGGGAGAAAATGAAGACTAGAATTTAGCCGTTTAAGATACACTACTTGAGTAATGATCGCACTGGCTTGAAGAAAGGGTTGTTGTCCCATCTTCTTTGTGTCGCCTGTTCAGTCTGCAATTTCCGGTACCAACGGGACAAAACTCGAAGCTGTTGCAGGTAAAATCATAATTAGTGATGCAGTTTTTAGCACAGTCCTGGGGACTGAGAACATTGCTGTACTGTAGGTCACCTGATCTGCTCAGTTCTTTTGCTGGTATGTACGTAAATTGAGCTACAAGAAACAAAGATGCAAGTTGACCATGAAGTCTTATTTTTTACCGATTTTTTAAACTTCAATATAATCTTTTGTTATTTCATCAGTGTCGTTGTATGCGTAAGCTATTCATTTTTAGAGATATTTTTAATTACATTGCCATTATTGAGTTTTCTTTGGGAAAAACATTCTATGAAATAATTGTTTACCAGAGTAAACTTTACATAATCGGATGCCCTGATATTTATATAAAGGTCAGTGAAGACTGACCTGATGGGGGTGTCCTGTCTAGTACAGTGGCTGATATATACACATTGGAGTTATCGTAATCTAAGCGTACGTCCTGTACTCGGATGTATGACACCTGAAGGATCTCTGCGAATTTTGCCTGAGCCTTGATTTTCATCAGGTTTTCATCAGTTTTGTAAAAGACTCCTATTTTGGGACAAAAAAATATTAAATCGGGATAATAAAATAAAAACTAGAATATGACGAACTTTTTCAAACGCATAATCATTATGCTCTTTATTGCAAGTTTGCTGTGTATGAGTTGCAATTGTTACTGTATTCTGACTCAGAATTGTAAGTTTGCTGTGTGTGAGTTGTATTTGTTATCGGGTATTCTGACTTGGAATGGTAAGTTTGCTGTGTGTGAGTGGTAATTGTTACCAGGTTTTCCGATTAGGTATTGTAGGTTTGCCGTGAGTGAGTTGTTTTTGTTACCGGGTATTCTGACTTTGAATTGTAAGTTTGCTTTGTGTGATTTGTGTTTGTTACCGGGTATTCTCAGGCCCGTAGAACGCGGGAGGGGGTGGGGATAGTATTTTATTTTAGTAAATTAGCAAATTTTCCTTTAGATGCTAGTTGTCCCCCCCCTTTTTTTTTCTTTTTTTCAATTTTGCTTTTCAGATAATTTTGGGAAGTTGTCCCCCCAATGTTGGTCGGTTTAGGTATTTTTTTTTTAATATGCCCCCCCCCACTTTTGAAACACTTGCTACGGTTCTGTTTCTGACTTGGAACTGTAACTTTGCTGTGGTGTAATTAAGTTGTATTTGTTTCCGGATATTCTGACTTGTAATTATAGGTATGCTGTGTAATGAGTTGTATTTGTTTCCGGGTATTCTGACTTGGAATGTAGGTTTGCTGTGTGTGAGGTGAATTTATTACGGGTATTCTGACTTCCAATTGTAGGTTTGCTGTGTGTGAGTTGTATTTCATACCAGTTATTCAAACTTGGAATTGTAGGTTTGCTGTGTGTGAGTTGTATTTATTATCGGGTATTCAGACTTGGAATTGTAGGTTTCCTGTGCGTAAGGTTGGTTATATTTATTACCGGGTATTCTGACATGGAATTGTAAGTTTGCTGTGTGAGGTGAATTTATTACCGGGAATTCTGACTTGGAATTGTAGGTTTGCTGCTGCCGAGTAACAAGAAGACACGTCGAACAAACTGATGTCTTGATCCTCAAACACGTAGTCCACAAAGTTATAAGTTACAGAGTACTCAGGGGAACCGTCCGTCTACAGAGAAGAGGATAAGGCTTAATGCTGTAGTAACCACATTAAGTATTTAGCATTTTATTTTTTCATAAAGAAGATGGGTGAACAAGGCGTGCAGAATGCCTATAGCTTCAGATATTAATAAAATCACATTCAATTTTTGAATTAAGTATTTAAAATAAAGTTCTCATTATTGAAATTTATGAAATTATGACCAACAAAACTTTTCTGATAAAAAAAGATCTCGGAAAAAATTATTCTTTTATTAAAAAAATAAAATGGTATTCGTGGGATTCGAACCCCTAACAATAAAAACCCGGAGTATCATATTGCTTTGAGACTAGCACGCTAACCACTCCGCCACGCAGCTTCTGTAAATAGTGGCATTTAAATCGTGTTTGTGATATGACCCTTGACTTAATGGACTTCAAGTATTTCTCGGAAAGATGCGATTGTTTTGACATAAAAGTGTACTTTTTAGGTATAGTGGGTCTTTGCTCCATGTTTTTGTTAACCAAAAAATGTATATTTTTATGCAAACTTTTAGGATCAACTTTCAAAAAAATGGAGCGAAGACCCACTCATATCGAAAAATTTTGTTAAAGTGTGAGAAAATGATCCTTTTTGTCCTCTTTAGTGTTTGTGTGCTATTTCGTAGGCTAATAATTTCAGTCTTTGTGAGATTTTTGTAAATTGTAGAGATTTCACAATAAAATATACTTTAATGTTAGATGAAATATCAAAGAAAATTTTTATTTAATTGAGATTTTATTTTTCACTTATGTTTGTCGCACTATAGGCACTTCGCCCGCCTTGTTCACCCATCTTCTTAATTTATTCAATTTTTGACATAGAAATTTACTTACACCTAGAAGTGTTACTAAAAGTTGATATGGTACATCAGTAGGATCATAACTAGAACTGTCTATCGAAATCTCTGAAAAATCTTCCTGTAAATTTATTTAAATTACGTATTAAATAACTATACTTGAAATTTCAACACATTTAAACAAATGTACAAAATTTTCTATTCTCTAAATGAGATTCACATAAGAATAATTAACATCTTTTTCACATAATGTTGCAAAATTTACTGTTTTATATGAAAAGATTTAACAATTTAATACAAAACTATTGATATATGTTCAAATGGAACTGAACTTGAACAGTTTGTATTTCATCATGTAATGGAAAATAAAATATGTAACGAACAAAAAAGACAAACAACATTCGATTTATAGCAACTGAATGAAAATCAGTAATCTTACTGAGAGAAAGTAATAGTCATATGTAGCATTCTTAATAAATCCATTAGTGTCCAGGTAATCCGATCGAATACCACTGAAAACATCGCACATGGCATTACCACGACAACGCCTCTATGAATTAAAAAGGAGATATCAGAGAAAGACGTATATGTTTCTATTTCAATAAATCAAGTTTTTTTTTTGTTAAATCACCTTTTTTGAAATCAAGAATTTAAGATCTTTTCCTTTAAAAATGTTATTTATTTTATAACAGATTTGTTTTTTTTTATAGCAGGAGAAGTTACATGAACTAAATTTTAATTAATAATTTTAAACATATATGATCAAACAGATAAAATCAATTTAATTCCCCTTACCTGACCAACATAATCATAATTAGTGTCTAGTTTTAGAAATTGAAGTGGGTTCTTCATGTGAAGGGAATATCCGGATTTCTCAGTTCCGTTCCCGTAAAAGGTTTCATGTGATTCAACGCTGTCTATGGAGCCATTACTTAGAGGAAGTACAGAACAGTTACCGATGACCAAATCCTTAATATACCGAACGCCTGAATAAAATATATATTTGATTTATAAGAAAGGTATTTGATTTGAAGCATAAATTTGCAGGAAACTTTTCCGAAGAGAAAATTTAATTTGAAAATTTTATAAAAAATTAATAATTTTACAGCTTGTAAATTCAAAGTGCATGTAGATTACAACACAATTTTTTGGCGTCCATTACCTGCGTTGTAATCGTGAACTTCAGAAAGAGGGTTCTGAGAATAAGTGGGTGGTAAGTTGGCTAAATTCTTGTAGTCATACCGCACAAGCTTGTAGTTTTCATTGTAATATACCTATAACAATAAATAAGAAGAAATGGTTCGGCTAACTGCCGTAGTATTTAACATGTCAAGATGACAATTCCTTTAAAGACCATCCCTTTGTAGATACTTACTATACTGGTTTGAACGTTTCCATCATACTCTGATATGACCTCTAGTCGGTAGTGGTAAGCCTTAGAATTAATTATTCCTACCATCTTCTTTGTCGGTTTTCTGTTTGCACAATAAACCCCAGCAGGTGTCTGAACACATACAATTTTATTTTAAAAGTAAACTTTCAGGTATTGAAATATGAAAATAAAAGATAATGGGTATTAAATGTTTTCCCAATTTTTTAATAGAAAACTTAAAATGTACTTTCTCAAGTTAAAAAAAAAGGGGACACACCTCAAAAATTGTATCCTCAACAGTTAAATCTAGCCGGAACTCAAAGTAGTCATAAATGTGGTGAAACATCCGTTGAGTGGAGTTCTTTGTCACCTGAACCCCGGTAGCCTCGGCTCTGAGGGGAAGTTGTTGGTAAGAAACTGGGTTCACCCAGTCCATAGCTGACATTGCCAAATAACAGGATGTTATAATGTATCTTAAAGTATGATATTTATAATTCTTGTGGATTGATAACAATCTTACCCGTAAAATAATAATCCAAAAAGAAAGTGGCATTAGGATTTGGCCATGATAAGCATGCTCGCCAGTGATCGGCATTTATTCCTCGTACAAGTGATTGTCCCATATATGTCTAGAGAAAAAAAAATCACAATCAATTGATTCGGTAAACGAAGTAATCATTTGTAAAAATTAGTATAAAAACAATGGTTTAACAATTATGAATCATCTGTCAAAATACTACCCAACGATAGGTTTTATTTTGGCTATATAAACAACCAATTTGCGGTATGCTGATTTTAAACGAGATTGTTGAACATCAACTTGTTTGTCAGTTACCTGCCTCGATTTAAGAATTGATCGTACTCAGAGCATGCTAGGATACATAAATACCCATATGCAGGTGACAGTGGTATGTTACTACATAAATAAGGGAAGTTGACAATGAAAAAGCTCAGGTTATTACATTTGTCATATAGTTTAGTTGTTACTTGGCCATGAACGTGTATAGTCAGTAAAACATCCAAATATGAAACGAATGTGGTATATTCTGTGCTGTTTTTTATTTCGAGTTCGAATTATAATGATAGAAAATTCAATACCCCCCTATCTCTCTCTCTCTCGTTCATTTATCGTTTCTAACCTTAATAATATTACGATCTCGAGAATTTATGTCCTTACCTGGCCGTACGTCTTCATAAAATGCAGAGCGCCATTAGAAGTAAATGTGTGGGGAACTCCATTCTGTATTTTATTTCCAAATAAGAAACTGTTTGGGTCGTGTAATAAGTCATTTACCTGGCACCGTCCACCTGAAAGACAGTCAAAGGCAACTAATTTGTAGTGAGAGTTTTGAAATAAATGAAATATATGTCATTTCCCTAACAAAAAATACTGAAGTAAACTACAGTTAACTATAGTAAATCAACGTTTCAAATTTATTACAATATTAAAAGTTTTCAAAGTTATCACTATAATGTCATAGTGATCACTATAGTAAATTAAAGTTTTTAAAGTAATCACTACAGTGTGAAAGTTTTCACAAAATTAAATCAAAGCTTTCAAAGTTATCACTATAATAGTAAATCAAAATTTTCAAAGTTTTCACTATAGTTAACTATGGTTTTCATAGTTTCAACGTTATCACTATAGTTAACTATAGTAAACTATAGTTAACAATAGCTAACTATAGTATTTTTTGTAAGGGTTACGTTCATTTCATAAAGGAATGTATACGTTTTTGTGTGTATAAGTCGATAACTGACCCAAAAGGAAGTGATGATTCATAGTATTAAAAGTTTTTTCATCGGTACTATATCACTATCTAGCTCAAACGTGATATATATACAGATACTGTAAACTTCACAAAAACTTATGAATAAACACTATATTACCGCTTTTAGACATTCCGACCATTTTCCTCTTGCTTATTTATATTATAGTGTTATTATTTGGATGTACTATGCCGAAATAGTAGTCAGGGTTTGACACATGGTGCATGAGCCGGAGGCGAGTGCACTATGTGTCAAACCCTGACTACTATTTCGGCATAGTACATCCAAATAATAACACTATTATAATTATTATGCTGACTGTTGTTTGTATACGACAATTTAATTAAATTCTCAAATCCCAAACCTGTTTGCAGACGTTAAATCTAAATGAAAATTTTCTTGAACATTCTTTGATCAAGCGTTATATCAAAAAGCGTTTTATTGACTCCGAAGAACCAGTTCATGTTACGTTGCAATTTTGGTTACTGAAAAATTCGATTATTTGTTAGAGAATTTTTCTTTAAGATCCTTATCAATAATATCAGTCTTTTAGAAATTATATTCATTTATTTCTTGTTTTGTGACAAATGTATAAAAACTACGTTTATATACTTGAAAATACATTCCCTAAAGTAGCGGTGTTTGTGGCGTAATCGTTTACGCGTTGGACTGACGTTCTCGAGATCGTGAGTTCGATCCCCAGCGGTGGTGCTAAATACATTTTCTCTAGAAAAGACAGCCGTGCACTATTTCGGCATAGTATGCTTACGCTATATAAATCCTTAGAACACTATGCGAAAATAGTTGGGTATTGATTATATAGAGACAAACTGACAGGAAGCATAATAATGAAGTTTAGTCATGCTAAGGCATGTCTGAAGTAATGATAACCAAATGTGAATACAAAAAATAGTTTAGAGGTCACTCGAGAGTTGATGCGCTATGAAGATATAACTCCGGATTTTACCAGTACATTTAAGCATTGAATCATTATTGCAGCCCGGAGGACCGGGCTGCTCTATACATATAAGTTTAAATGTTGGTATATGGGGATTGAGGTGGGAGAAGTTATTCAGAATTAAAGGTTTTCTAAACATTAAAAAGATTGTTAATCAGAATGTTCTTTCCCTTTATAAATTACGAGATACACAATATATTTACTTCCATAAAGTGAATCTGTAAAAATATATATGTTTTTCATATTTAATATATAAAGTTGCTTATCATTTACTATCGAAAAACCGACAGGTCCCTTTTTATTAGAACATCGAATTTTACTTATCGCATAAAAACGTAAAAACGTACTTTACACAGTTCGTGTTTTATATTCTTAAAGTGAAAGACATTTCTGAAAATAGGTGATGCATGTGTCTGGTTTCAATTTATATTTTATGCAGCCAACATTTATTTGAGGAATTGATAAAGTTTAAAAGATTATCGTTTTTGTTCGATTTTCATCCGACTATAGGTTTTCAAAATATTCTCGACTATCGTCTCCATCATTTAGACGCATGCCTTTTTCACATATATCGAAGCGGTTTGATAATCAAGACTCATTTCCATTGTTTACTTTATTTATTTCCCGGGCGACAATTGATGGTTACATCAATGTTTTCTTGTTTTTTGAAAGATATAGTCTCATAACTGCAACGGTGTGTGCAAACAAATTGAGTAACGCGTGTTAGCACGTTATGGAAATCTGTTTGCACACATCGTTGCAGTTATGAGACTATATCTTTCAAAAAATAATGATTCAATGCTTATATTTACATTTTTTAACTCCTTGCCTTGACTGCAAATTGACTTATATATCCAAATCCCTGTATTATCCTTCGGGTAAGTTATAATTAGGCTAATGGAAGAACCGTTGCAACAGCCTCTGTTGAATGTGAGCGTGAATTTTGATTTTCGCTTATGACGTTGCACTTCCACGGCGTTCAACGTTTGTGACGTCAAAATAAAACGCATACTTTAACCTTTTGACCCCCTGTCCGTGTTATGGTGTTTTGAATGCCGTAGCTTTCCTCACACTTTATAAGCAAAATGCATATTGAATGTAAATATGTATGTTTATTACTAACTTCGATAATATGTACATGTATCTATTGTGAAATTAATTTTTAGTAATTCTTCTAAGTCTATGCAAAAGACATCAGACCATCGGACCTGACCGATGTGCAGTGCCTCTGGCCTGATGTGTCATTTTTTACACCGGACCAGTATGTCTGATGTCTCAGTGTCTGGTTTTGAGCTTAACTATTTCGACCCGGAGTCATTTCAATGTTTGTTATGCCCTGTTCACACGGAGAGTTTAATTCGAATTTAACCTTTAGTTACTGCGTATTAAATTTGATCCGCGTTCACACGGAGAATTTAATGCGAATTAGTTTAATTCGAATTAGTTTACTGCGCATTAAATTACTTCGCATTAGCTCCTTGTGAACGCTAAGCGAAGCTAATTCGAATTAGATTTTGACGCATGCGTAAGGGCAGAATTAAGTCACAGGCGACATGTCGATGGTCAAATACTTGTGCTATTTTTGAGTGGAAAACAAAGGAAAATTATGTCAATCACTAAAATGTGTACAGACACTATGACATTTTATTCAATCTAATTAAAATTAGATCTTCCATTCGCTCCCCGATTATTTTTTGTCGCGAGGAACTAAAAAATCGGGGAGCGAATGGAAGATCTAATTTTAATTAGATTGACATTTTATTATACTTTCATGTTAAATACTAAAATCTGATTGGTTTAGACGCATATAACAATCCGTATTATTATACTTTCATGTTAAATACTAAAATCTGATTGGTTTAGACGCATTTAACAATCCGTAATGTTACCCTCAGCGTTAGCAACACACTTGACAACGGGTAACATTACGAAAATATCACATGCGTTCAAATCATGCGCATACGGTTCACCGTAGAATTCTCAAAACGTCGGTTGTGCGTTTGAAAGAAGCCGAATAAACGACGTCAATAAAAGCTTGCGTCCGATGTAGCTTACTTGAAAACAACAGACGACAGACGAAACATCCTTGCGAGTGCAAAATTTAGACGATAAAACTTTTTGAGTATAGCAAACAAACAATATAGAGGTTGGTAAATCTTTTCCGAAGCTTTCTTACTGAGAAAAAATAGAAGCGGGGAGTTTGAAAGCTTTCTAAGCGTGAACTTAATCTCCGAATTTTTTTTATGACATCCGAAATCAATAAGACATTCAGTATAATAAAATAAATAGTGCACGTTTTTGAGGGTAACAGTTGAAATTGACACCCCTCGGAAAACCATTGTCAACCTCCGCTGAGGCGTCGGTTGACAATGGTTTTCCTTGGGGTGTCAATTTCAACTGTTACCCTCAAAAACGTGCACTATTTATATAATGTTATCCTCAGCGTTAGCAACACACTTGTCAATGGGTAACATTACGAAAATGTCACATGCGCTCAAATCATGCGCGTACGGTTCACCGTAGAATTCTCAGAACGTCGGTTGTGCGTTTGAAAGAAGTCGAATAAACGACGTCAATAAAAGCTTGCGTCCGATGTAGCTTACTTGAAAACAACAAACGACAGACGAAACATCCTAGCGAGTGCAAACTTTAGATGATAAAGGACTATTTATATAATGTCAAATGTATATCTGCTCTGCACAAAATGACGTGATTTGTAAATGACGTCATAATAGCCTTACTGAATAGCCTTGTTGTAGAAATAAAATTTTAATTCGCATTAATTTACTTCGCATTAGCTGTCGTGTGAACGCAATTTAATTCGCATTAGTTTGATTCGCATCATTTTACTTCGCATTAATTTACTGCGAATTAAACTCTCCGTGTGAACAGGGCATTAAACTCTCCGTGTGAACAGGGCATTATAATTAAAAAATACCGTACAATTCCAAATACGTAAATAAATGTCATTAAAACCGCATGGACCGTCCATCGAATTATGTGGGAGCGATCCCTGGTAAAAGGAAAGCTATTAGGCCTATGTGTTAAATGATTACACAGAACCGAATGTCCTGTGTGGTCCAAAAAAACTTTCACATAGACTGTCTTCTAGTTCATTCTAGTCAACAAATTTTCCTGATGTTTTCTTTTAATATACGTGTTTGTTTCAAATTGTAAAAGTTTAAAGGCACCTAGATACATATAACTCTAACTTAAATATATAATTACAAGTCATATTAATGCTTTACTAATATTATTTTAAAAATCTGGAATTTGGATTCAAGAGCAAAATAAAACTTGTTTTACCGTGAACGTAGAAGAGTTGATTGTCGGTATAGTCGTACACCAGTGTGTCTGGCGTGTTGCCTTCTGAAGCCATAATCAGAGTTGCTCTGTCCTTTTGACTGTTGAAGTACTCCTGAGCAGACACTGTCATTTTCTTGTCAATAATGTTGGCCTCCACTCGGGTTTGAAATGTTCCGGGTAAGGTCGGGAAAGGTGGCGCTAATGTCGATCAAATGTAACGGTATATCACATACTGATACGGCATAAAATAGATTATTTCTTAATAATTATATGTTACATTGCTATCAACCTTTCTTTCAAAATCTTGATGATCCATGGATTGTTAAATTTTTTCCTAAGAAAACACATTTTTATACTACATAAACAAGTGTATATTATTTTGAACACTTACCATTGGGAGCTGGAGTAGATACAGTAGTGTTGGCAATACAGAATGGGGTAGCATTTGCGACCGAAATCAACTGCAGGACGAAAACTAACTGGTAAGCCTTGAAATGGAAATTGTTAATCAATGTGAAAGTAGAAAAATGTGTTTCTGTATAAAAGTCTATCAGGAATCGTTAGGCACTATTAACACTTACGAGAGTGGTTATTATAAAGGCTACCTTTTGTGTTAGATATATTCACAACCTGTGGTGTTTCATGATCTTTATGTTTGAATCGGAGACGGTAAAATTTTGGTTGGGATTTATGTCATATTGGCACTTTCCATCTTCTATATTTATATTACTATTTGAATAGCTCATTCAAAGATGAACCACTTATAATTACAAGAGTACATGTATTTTTTATCGTGGTGGTTTATCATTACTTTGGTGAAACGTATAACTAACTCCGGGTATCCAGAGAGACTAATAAGGAATAGCGCAATATGTATGTTTTCCTCATATTTTTAAAGTAGAAACAAGAAATATCACGGAACATTTTAGTCTTTGATATAAAACAATAAAATATGTGGAGATAACGAACAGTATTCGAGCTCAAAAATCCATTAAACATTACATAATAGGAGCAGAGCAAACACGGACATCTAAGACATCAGAGGTGGGATCAGGTGCCATGGAGGAGTGAGCATCCCCTGCCGATCGGTCACACCCGCCGTGTGCTCCTTGTCATGATCGGGAAATAACAATTTAGTGTATAAATAATGGCCTAACAATTAGTATGAAAAACATCAGTCAGCATTTGACTTAGTGAAAGATTGTATTAGCTGACAAGGTCATTGTATCGACCATAGAACTTACGAAATGATGACTTTAAACGAGACTGCTGATATCCTTGTTTCATCAACTAGTTTGTCAATAACTTACCTCGTTTTAGAAATTGTTCATTCATAGAGCATGCTCTAGATATCGAACCAACTGAGAGATACATGTATAAACCCCGTATGCAGGTGATACGGGTATATTGCTGCATAAGTAAGTGAAGTTGACGATTGAAAAGTTAAAGTCATCACGTTTATCATAAAGCTTTGTTGTTAGATTACCATTAACGTCTTTTTCTGATAAAATATCCAAATATGAAACAGATGTGTCAGACTCTATGGTATCTTTTATCTCAAGCTCACCGGGATATATCGTGTCGACATAAGAATGGAAATAACCATTGTTAATTGACAATACGTCGTCGATATATCTAAATGTCGAGTTGAAGGCCACAACAAGTGTTTTCTTCTTCTCATGCAGAAGTTTTTTGAATAAATTCTGCTTCATATGAATACAAAAATAGGTCTGCTAATAATGCAACTGGTACCCATTGGAATTCTAATAGATTGTTGGAAGACCTGGTCTCCAAAAACCACATAGATATTGTGAATCAGAAATTCGAGCATCTTTTTAATGTCAACTTCAGAGTACTTGTGTGTACAATCGGATTGTTTTTTAACAAAGTAATTTTGCAAATGACCAATGACAATTGTCAATATTACTTCAATTTCATTCATTTAATATAAACACCCGTGTCAAACGATCATACCGCATCTTCTACTTCAATGTTGTGCTAAACTCCGCGTAAATCTCATGATTTAGACTGTTTAATTTCTTTCGTGCAAGGTATTACATATTCATAGTTGCTTTTTTGTTTTAAATCCTTTTCAAAAGAAAAAGTAAGCCAGTGAAATTAATCGAAAAAAAGCGTCATTTTTGCTGGAAAATGTGTGAATACATCGTTTACTGACCCACTTAACACTTGCCATATACTAGTATAAGTAAATTAAACCGATTTCATATTCCACAGATACCATGGATGATCTAGCAGTATCAGCGGAAGTATCTTCCTAAGCATTTTCCAGTAATCCATTTTAGTTGATTCTTGTCTTTTCAAGAAATAACAAAAAAATATGCTTTCCAGTGAAAATTTAAACGATGTGACCAAAACCAAAAATATCTCAAAATCTTTTAAAAGTCCTTCGCATTCAATCTCTGTTAAACTTTCCTTAAAATGCTGTTAATAATTTCTTTGATATTACAGCATTTGTAGTGCCATCAACTTCAGAAATGTTCTGAGAATGCCTTGATGTGCTGTTCTTTTATGATGTACATGTAACTGAATTATAGAGGTTCCATAGATAATTCTTTTATAAGATGAAGCACTTCCTTAAGCTTCTTATAAAGACGGCTTATAGGTGTTAAAAGTATGATTAAAGATCATCTTTAAGTCATCCCTAAGCTAGCTATCATTTAGTATAATACATATATATACACACCATCTTAAAACTATCATTATGCCGTGCTTTAAAGATGGATTATAGGTGCTTAAAGGTAGCTTTTAGACAGTCTTCAAGCCACAATTAAGCCAACTTTGAGCCAGACGTAAAGGTTCCTAATATCCAGGATAATATAAAGATGGTGACACCGGGGACATACCATAGCTATGTGCTTACATTTATTTATTTTATGGTTCGTGCAATCAGAATTTGACTTTTTAAGGACCATCCAGGAATTAATTGCACTGCAATATATTCTTTCATTCTTTCCATCCAGCTTTTTACACTTCATGATTCTTGTTTTATGTAACCCCCTAAACAACATTCTATTTTTAGAATAAATGTTGAATTTTTTGAAATGTGGACTCAAAAAACTGCTTTCTAGTCGTTAAGAAATTTTCTCTGTAAAAAGATAGAAACCGATCAAAGCATACAGGGAAATAATTAGAAATCACTTTTTGGTATTGTTACTATAGGAAACAAGAGGCCCATGGGCCACAACGCTCACCTGAGTCAATATGGCCCTGCTGTTCTTTGTCAGCAGATTTCTTCTTCTATATATTCATACGTAAAGCTTTGATCAACTGTTCTAGGCATAACCTATCCCCATTTGCCATGTTTTGAATGAAATTGAATCTAAACTTTCTGAGGATGCTTCTATATTCATATAACTAATCATGGTTTTGCTGTTCTTGAAACGGAATTTTAAAGATGTCTGCCATCCTACCCTGGGGGGAAGGAAGGGAGGGGGGGTTCAAGATTTGAACAAACTTGAATATACACTACCTAAGGATGCTTCCATATCAATATGACTAATTATGGCTTTGTTGTTCTTGAGAAGAAGATTTTTTAAGATATTTCTTATATATATTCTTTTGTTAAACTTTGATCCCCGATTATGGCCCCACCCTACTACTGGAGGATGCCTTGAACAAACTTGAATCTACAATACTTGGGGATGCTTCAATATCAAAATGACTAATCACGGCTTTCCTGTTCTTGAAAAGATTTTAAAAGATTTTTCCTATTTATTCCTATGTAAAACTTTGATCCCCCATTGTGGACCCACCCTACCCCCGGGGGTCTTGATTTCGACAAATTTGAATCTACACTACCTAAGGATGATTCCATATCAATATGACTAATTGTGGCTTTGTTGTTCTTGAGAAGAAAATTTTTAAAGAATTTTCCTATATATTCCTATGTAAAACTTTGATCCCCCATTGTGGCTCCACCCTACTCCCGGGGGTCATGATTTGAACAAACTTGAATCTACATTACCTGAGGATGATTCCATATCAAAATGACTAATTGTGGCTTTGTTGTTCTTGAGAAAAAGATTTTTAAAGAATTTTCCTATATATTCCTATGTAAAACTTTGATCCCCTATTGTGACCCCACCCTACCCCCGGGGGTCATGATTTGAACTAACTTAAATCTACATTACCTGAGGATGATTTCATATCAATATGACTAATTGTGGCTTTGTTGTTCTTGAGAAGAAGATTTTTAAAGAATTTTCCTATGTATTCCTATGTAAAACTTTGATCCCCCATTGTGGCCCCACCCTACCCCCGGGGGTCATGATTTGAACAAACTTAAATCTACACTACCTGAGGATGATTTCATATCAATATGACAAATCATGGCTTTGCTGTTCTTGAGAAAAAGATTTTTAAAGAATTTTCCTATGTATTCCTATGTAAAACTTTGATCCCCCATTGTGGCCCCACCCTACCCCCGGGGGTCATGATTTGAACAAACTTGAATCTACATCACCTGAGGATGATTTCATATCAATATGACTAATTGTGGCTTTGTTGTTCTTAAGAAGAAGATTTTTAAAGAATTTTCCTATATATTCCTATGTAAAACTTTGATCCCCCATTGTGGCCCCACCCTACCCCCGGGGGTCATGATTTGAACAAATTTAAATCTACACTACCTGAGGATGATTTCATATCAATATGACTAATTGTGGCTTTGTTGTTCTTGAGAAGAAGATTTTTAAAGAATTTTCCTATATATTCCTATGTAAAACTTTGATCCCCCATTGTGGCCCCACCCGACCCCCGGGGGTCATGATTTGAACAAACTTGAATCTACACTATGTAATGAAGGTTTCCCATAAGTTTCAACTTCTCTGGCCCAATGGTTCTTGAGAAGAAGATTTTTAAAAAAAGACACCAAATTTTCACTTATTCTTAATTATCTCCCCTTGGAAGAGGGCATGGCCCTTCATTTGAACAAACTTGAACCCCCTTCTTCCAAGGATGCTTTGTGGCAAGTTTGGTTGAAAATGGCCCAGTGGTTCTGGAGAAGAAGTCGAAAATGTGAAAAGTTTACAGACGGACGGACGGACGGACAGACGGACAGACGGACTACGGACAAAATGTGATCAGAAAAGCTCACTTGAGCTTTCAGCTCAGGTGAGCTAAAAAGTGTCGCACCTCTTCCTTAAAATAATATAAGGATTTTCCTTGATTAATCGATTACATTTCAACTTATAAACATTATCAACGTTAAAAAATATCACATTTCTTCCTTAAAAATTATTAAAGATCTTTCCTTATTAATCGGTTACATTTCAACCAATAATTGCTTTTATTTTTGGCATGTATGACTAATCAAAATAATGAATTAAATAATTGCTTTTCAATTCTTTGTTTCCAAGGTTACGTATGAAATATATGGATATAACGAACAGTATTCAAGCTCAAAAGTCCATTATACAATACAAAATAGGAGCAGAGCAAACACGGACCTCCAAACATCAGAGGTGGGATCAGGTGCCATGGAGGAGTGAGCATCCCCTGCCGATCGGTCACACCCGCCGTGTGCTCCTTGTCATGATCGGGAAATAATGGAAAAATCCGTCGACAATTCAGTGTGTAAATAATGGCCTAACAATTAGTATGAAAAACGTCAGTCAGCATTTGACTCAATGATAAATTGTATTTGCTGACAAGGTCATTGTATCGACCATAGAACTTACGAAATGATGACTTAGACGAGACAGCTGATATTCTTGTTTCATCAACTTATTTGTCAATAATTTACCTCGTTTTAGAAATTGTACATACGTAGAGCATGCTCTTGCGTATCGAATCAACTGAGAGATATATACCCCGTATGTAATAGTTGCTTTCTTGAATATTTCTATCATGCGTATAAGAAATCGGGTTTTTGACTTTTGAAAACAATTACTGCCATTTTTCTAATTGCTGCAAATGATATGAGGTTTTCAAAAACTTTAACAAGCTTGAATAAAATTCTGTAAGTACTAGTATGTGTGCCACTGTTCCTATATGAAAGTGAAAGTAGTTACAGAGAATTGCTCTTAATTTTAAACATTGATGTGAATCCTAATAGATCAAGTAAAAAAATTGAATGAACAATCATTATATTTCAGAAATCTTACAATATTTGCATCAAAATTTGTGTTAATATTTTCGTCGGAAAAAAAGAATAGCTGACGATCGAACTCCCGATATACTTTTCATTACTAAGTATATAAAGCTCCTTCTGCTTTATAAAAGATTAAGTGAAATAAATCTGGCATCTGTTATTTAATGACGTACTTCCGGGGTATCTTTCATCAGCAGTACACATGTACTAGTTAAATGGGGAAAAAATAAGATAAAACAGACAACAAATGTGTGATTAAAGAGAAAAACAACGAATTTATTTAATATATTGAATAAAATGTACCGATAAGAACGAAAATATTATTACAAATTGGTAACAAGTGATTCCTGATGCGTATCCCTTTTCTTTTTCTCTATATAAGACGTAAAAATAAATTAACTCCTTCCCCTTCTATGGTTATTTAGAGCATGATTACTTTTTTCCTTACCTGCATAATAATAGAATTGTTTCCTCATTCAGCACGTGATATTTTAACTACTGTAAATTAACCGGTCACAAATATGGCCTTTTTTGTAACACGTACTGATGTGATACAAGGTAATCTTATCAGCCCTGTATCATTGTATTCCATCTCTAATCAAACATATCAACCCATACATACATGTAAAGCATCGACTAAGTAGCAGTGTGACTTCTTTAAAAAAGGTATATGCAACATAAATTAAAGAATTTGCTATTACTATTAAAATGATTTTATTCATGTGCTGCAGATGTTTGTGAAAACTGATGTACACGTATTGTGTTTATTGATCATAATGACTGTTAAATATTCTGTGACATATATGTTTTCTTTATTTTTTCTTTACAGCTTAGTACAACATTTTTAATGAAATATGTACAATGAGTTCATAAGCAAAAAAATACAATTAATTTAGTTCAATTTTTTCTTAAATATTTGAAAAGCTTTGAACACAAACAACTGAAATAAATCTTCTAATGTCGTTATCTCATCTTTATCTTTTCATTCAACATACACACACACCCTCACACATGTATACACATACACGTGTCATGTAGCTACATTGTATGTTATCATACCGAAAACATATTAGACCCTTTATAAAAACATAAACGTAGTCTTTGCATGCCACACTCCTCTTTCAAGAACTTATTAGAACACGTCTAAATATTAAACTTGATCCGTGCCCTACTCTTGGTACGTCTCGGTATAAGCATCATTCACGATGTAGGTGGTTTTGGAATAGTCTGTGTCTTCATCCTCTACAGTATACAGACCATTGGAATTCTTCTCCATCACTGGCTCCTTAGAAAAATGTTCTTTGTCGTAACCATTCATCTGCTTCGGGTCCTGTTTTAGTGTTCTTGACTGACGATGACTTAAAGATAAGCAGTAATGATTAAGTACAAGGCCACAATCTCAAGATTTTAACGATACGATTTTTGACGTGATGTTACAACGCTTAAGCTTTAATTCTCATTTTTACCAGTGTTTAGATATGAGCCAAAACTTACGAAAATTAGTTTCGTACAATTGTGAAAGATTACTTTTCGTATACACTATTTTCATTCTATTATACTGATATACCGTATAGTTATCTGTACATACTTTCTAGCTCTCACGACTGTGATCAGGAGCGTCGCTAATATGATGATCAGTGCAAGGCATCCAATAGCTATAACTACATAAACCCACCATTCCTGTAAAGAGAAGGTATCTGAATTAAAGTCAACACAAAGTGAATACAACACAACCTCCAAAATAAAAATAGAGTTATTATCATAGTTTCGTATTTATCAGAAAGTTCATTATCTGTACTTTCTCAGCTAATATATTACGACGAACAACACTGCTACAGGAATTCCAATTTAATTTTCATACCATTGGTTATGGTATGTTGTTCTTTAAAAGACTTTGAAAGATTTTTTTTCATCCTATGTATTCCAATGTAAAAAAAAAAAAGAGATAACTTTATTATGACTCCATCCTCTTGGAAAATGATTTTTGCAAACTCCAATACGCTTTATTTAAATATCATAAAAATGTTATTGTATTGAATTCTTTGATCCCAGCGAAGAATGTATAAATAACCTCATGCTATCTTCTAAAATCTTCTTTCTTGGAAGACTCCAGTTCATCATCTTTCATATTGTTAATTTTGAATTTACCGAGTGGCAGTAAATAAAATATACAGAATTGTGTAATATCTCGCTTTCACCTGCATATGATGTTTACATTTCCCAACTTATTCGACACTCAAGAGCATGTTTCGAGTACGATCAATTCTTAAATCGAGGGCATGCTTTTGACAGATAAGTTGGTGTTACAGGGATTTCAACAACCACGTTTAAAGTCGGCATTTCGTAAATTCTATGGTCGTTATAATGACCTTGTTAGCAAATATAACCTATTATTTGGTCGTATTTTGGCTGACTTGTTTCATACTAATTGTTAGACCTTTGTTTTTATACTGAATTTGACTAAGAATGTTCCATGTAATTGATCAATACATAGGGCTCACGGCGGGTGTGACCGGTCAACAGAGTATGCTTGCTCCGCCTTGGCACCTGATCCCACCTCTGGAATTTCCAGGGGTCCGTGCTTTATGCCTTCTTTACAGAATCGTCTTGTTTACAGATCTTTTTGAGATCCATCACTGTTTGTTATCCTCACCTTTTTCATTTGTTGTAAATTTTGTATTTACTGCCACCCGGTAAATTCAAAATTTACAATATGACAATTTGAGCAAAGTTGATTTATTTTATATGATCATATTCAGTTCAAATAAAACTTCAATTGAGGCCTTCATTTTCTTGTTACCGTTTGATCTAATTTGTTCATATACAAGCAGTATTAATCCGCCTAATCCTGCTTTTATCTGTATCATAAGAAAAAACATAAAGTGTTGGAAAATGAAACAATGGTACGAATTTTCCTGCTTTTGAAATTGAATCATTAATTCTTTAACTCTTTAAAAATATATCCATTGTATATTACAGTAAAGTTCCTTTCTTGATAAAAACATTTAAAAACTTTATCCAATAATGTTCTCGGATTTTGATCGTTTGTAACGTAACCCACCGTTCCTTCCGGTTCTGACTTTTTAGAGGCAGTAGAAAACACACGTGAGCCGGGAACTAGTTTAGACAGTTCCTGCTCTAACTGTACAGAAGAAGGTTGGTTCAAATCTTCCTCCTCAACTTCAGTTACCCCTTTCCTTGGCTGTACGAAATATGTGTACATACGTACATTGTCTCTGGAAAGTATTGTACATTATTCATTATTAAGGTGCGATGCCGACGAATGTTTACATAATATGCATTCTCTTTTACATTGTAACTTTTTTGCATACCCAGATCCAGCGACATATCCGGATTCTGTATTGAGCACTTTAACTGGAATTATTAGACCAAGACCTAAAATATGCCAAATCAATGCGTATATTGCTTCATTCAATCTTTCAACTTTTCTTTGTTTCAAAAGAATTTCATTAGTGGAATCCATATCATTACAAAGAATTGCATTTAAGCGACTAAAGTTGCCTTGTAGAATTTTTACCATTATTGGCGATGATCCAGGCATTTGATACAGCTTTCTGTATAATTGTTGAATTGAATCCCTGCATGTCCTTTGTCCACAGCATTCTAACCTTATAAGCTCTGCAGTCACACACTGATTTTAGAACGTTCTCCATGACTCCGGCGCTGGGAGGGGATACCGCTGCTAGACTGGAATCGGCGTTCATTACAGTTACTGTGTACTTGATTAATGTTACTGGTTCCCTGGGAATAGAGGTTATAACAAACTACATGAACAACACAACGTGGTTAACATACAATGTATAGTTCATCAATTTATATCTTTATAGAGTTTATGTCTTTACCCTTTTGAGGAAACATAAAAATTGTTCCATGATTGGATGTCTGTGGTCAAAACATGCTGGAAAACATCTGAAAAGTGAAAAAAGGTTTCAATATCGGTAGTCAAATATTATACCTGAAGAGGACATCACGTTAAGTGTAACTGGAAGAGCCTTTACAAGTGTCAGCTATACTGTACGTTTATTTGCTGTTGCCCACGCAGTGTTCAGTGAGTGTGAAGTTGGCTTTTGTTCTGATCTTGGAACAGCTTCCTTCAGTACCAGCTGATGTAACTGCTTCATCCTATTTACTGCTAACTTCCGGTTTAAACGACTCAGAGAACTGTTAATGAAGTCTAACTTTCCCTCCATATTTGGTCTTGGCCACTCTGTCTTTGTGTCATTTGGACTACTCGGTAGATAGTACAGTCTTGTGGCAATTGAACTAGATTTGCATGATAGAATGATCAGTAGTTTAATATAATTATTTAATACTAGTAACAGAAAATATATCAAATATGAAGTAATTTCTTCAAACTTACTTTTGGGTACTTAAAAAGGATTGTTTCCACCAGGAAGTATCAACGGTTTCTAATTAAACAAACATTAAACCATTAACAGAGATGCAGAAAAGGGCAATAATGCCCTATTAATGAAAAGTATCCAATCTCATGAAAATGCCCTCCTTCAATTTTAATGAAATAGGGCATTAGATGTAGTCTGCATATGAGAAAACCATTATATTATTTGTTTGATTTTTTGTTGTATTTTCAAAATCAAATTTATGGTCAGATTTTGTTTTTTCTTCCATCTTGTCCCTATGTGACAAAGCATCCGAGCAGATATGAGAAATCTGAAGAAGATATAGCACTTGTCAATCAGAAAATGTTCATCTTGAAATTAAACCTTTATGCCCATGCCTCTAAGAGTACCAGCAAAATTGAAAGAAATCTACGAAAAATATGGACCCTAAAACGTGCAAATAAATTGTCATAACTTTATTTAGAATCATGCATTGTATAAAATTGAGGAAGAAAAAGAAAACTCACCAAAAACTGTATTTATTGCATTTCTGATGTTATTTTCATCTTTGAGCTTCACACGCCCAGCTACGTCTACGTAATGGACCCGTGGGTTCTTACAGTCCTTACAAATCTGATAATGGGTCGATAGCTTGGTCGTCAGTGCTTTAAGAATTGTTGATTTTGTGGTGAGATGTCCATCTAACGTTGGGAACAGAACGACATCAACAGATCTACAAAGGTAATGCATCAGTTAATCATTCTGTTTCATCTTTAAGAGTTTTTAGCATTGAGTGACTTTAGCATTTAGAGTTATTAGAATTGAGAATTTTGAATCTTTCAAAAGACTAATTAAAACTGAGTCTTTTGAGAAATACCCTGGGTTTGTTGGCGTTTCCTCTAATGGAGAGAGCTTCATTCCAATGGTACACGTTCGCTGCAGACAGAACCCATTGTCTACAAACAAAAAGAGGATTTTACTATTTCTTGTAAAATGCTAACGCCTCAATGCTTATTTTAAGACATTTATGTACCTTTGAGGATGTTTTTATATGCTGCAAGAGCTTTATTGTAGATATCAGCAGCGGTGAGGGCGGTGGTCCTTTTTCTTTGTTGTAGAGACAGTCGAAGTCCTGATTCATATCCGTAACTCTCGTTCCCGGAATACAGCAGGACTTGCATATCTGGAAATTCTGTTTGGAACTCTTTATGAAACGACTGGTCTTTTGGGATGCTCTCTTGCCTAGGTTGTAGGAATTTTAGGCCACTTGTAACTAGGTATGATATGTCCGTTATATATATTCTGTAAGAAGAATTTACAATTTATCTCTTCTCTTCCCTTAAATAACTATTTCAATGAATTCATAAGCTCCAGAAAGTTTGTAATGACTAAATATTGTGCATTATACTGGTGAAAATTACCCATAATCTCCAATTTTGTACGCAGCGTCAACAATGAGAACATCAACATCCTTGTTTCCTATATTATGAAAGGAATGGATAAGTTTGCACAGTCTTTAAATGATATATCTCTATTATCAGTCCCGACATATGTAAAAATAAGGCATTATAAGCATAAAAATGTATTTAATATATTTATAATATTTAATATATTACCTGCGTTCGACCATGCTTGTTTAATGGCGGCCTTGATGCCGCTTCTGTAAATATTGTACACGTATCCAACCAGAGGCACGTGGTAGCTTCGCCCCAGTCCTGTTGTTTGACCCTTGAACACGCCATGATTACTGAGCTGACCAGAGTGGGCAAGTTGGTTGTTTAGAGAATGTGTGAGGTTTGGGTTTTTATGTAAGTCAGATGCGTCTGGACAATCTGAGCTGTTGTAGATGACTTTTGTGTATACTTTTCTGTTTTATAAACAAATATAACAAAATGAATAATTTGGAAATATCACATTCATAGCAGTATACTATTTTGTGAATGCTAATTTGAACTCGTATGACATTTGGCATAGGATTCGTTCCCCTACCTCTATTTCGTAGTGAGGTAGGCATCGGTTTTTGGTGCTCCTATGTACATCGCATACCTACAAGTTTCCAAAGATCAGAAATAAAATAGTTTACCTGGAGATACTGTAAAGATACTCTTTTTCCAAGATGTTGATGTCAGTACAGTTCTCACCTAAATAAGAAAAGAGTGGTCGTGATTTCTTTGTTATTTATTTTTTTTCAAGTTGTCAAATATACGGGTAATATCAGATAGTTATCCAAAGTGGATTCAAAAAGAAATTAATTGTTGGATGCCATTTTGACAAGCACAAAAGCTGTTTTAAACATGATTGTTTGTATAAATGACTAGTAACTGTTTACCTTTGGAAGTGTTTTTGACAGCATTTGTTATCACCTGTTTGACCGCTGGGATTTCCTTATCGGGAATTTTTCCGCTTAGTGTCACAGACATATTTCCTCCATTATGGGATGGGGTCGAGTGTACTGTCGTCACAACCACCTCGGGTGATGATGAAATTCTGAGGCTGGATTTAGAGTTCATTGTTGATAATATTGGTGTTGGACTTGTCTTGGGGGAAGTTACCTGAGATGTCGTTTTGGAAACACCCGTGGGTGTGGTCGTCTGAAATGACGAACTTGAAGCTATGCTAGACGTTACAGTTGTCATTGGATTATCTACAACCTTGCAATCTACTATAAATATTTTCATCATATCTACTTTCATGCAATTACATTCAGTTCTACCAAATGAAGTATTTAAGCAGGTTCCATTCAAGAAACATTGATCACCATGACAGCGAGCAAACACTGAGTCAGTGGTTGTAGGGCCCTGAGTTTTATTTGTACCTATGATATGTTTCGTGGTTCCGGGAGGAAGTGTTGTAGAGTCTGTTTTTGATACTGTGGTGGACACATTAGTTGTGGTTGGAGTAGCTGGCTTAGTTGATGACGCAGCTTTTGTCATCAATGATACATTCCTTGATGCAAGAAACGATGTTGGAGTATTGATTAAACCTGTTGTTTGTTTTTCTGTTGTTTCTGGTGAAGTTGTTGTTTTAGATGTTAATGATTCAGTTTGCACATCATGAGAAAAGTCTGTAGTAGGGCTGTTAGAAAATGTTTCTTTTGATGGTGAATAGGTGGAGGATGGGAATGTTATTTGTTGAGTTGTAGTTGGTTTGTAAGGATGCGTCGTCAGTTTAGATGACTGTGAAGCAGTGGTAAATAGCGGATAAAATATAGATATTTCACAAAATCGTCCAGTGAACCCCGTTTTGCAGTTACACTCAAAATCGTTGTATATATTTATACATGTTGCATTATTCTTACATGGGCTACTATCACAATGCAGTATTTCTTCCTCACAGAATTCTCCTTTATATCCAGGCCGACAACAGCATCTTCCATTAAAGCAATGACCGTCGTTCTTACATACAACTCGTGGGCACTCCAGATCCCGTGATAAAGCAATGGATCCATTTCTACAAATTGGGCCCCTCCAACCATGCGGGCAAATTTCTGTGTTTGTTCGAAATGATTTTAACATACATTGACTGCCACTAAAACATAAAGCATCTGAATAAGGACGACATAATGTATTGGAATGGGCACAAGTCTTCCCGCTAAACCCTGGTTTACACACACATATTGCGGTCCCATTTCCCAACATTAAACAAGAACCATTTCCACAAAACCTACATGCATTAACTGTTGGAGAAACTGTACTACTACCAGCAAGCTTTTCACACCTAGACCCTGCAAAGCCATTAAGACAGTCGCACGAATAATTCCCAACAACATCATTACAATATCCCCCATTCAAACATGTGTCATTCTGGCATTCGATTACTTCCTTCTGGCAAAGCTCTCCAGAAAACCCTATTAAACACTGACATGCACTATTAATACATTTACCATTGTTCCTGCATGCATTCTCTGAACAGTTATATGATACCTTTCCGGATGATGGTGTGACTATAATTGACGTCATGCGCTTTGTGGTAAGTGTGGTGCTTGTGGGTTTCGTTGTTGACAATGTTTTTGTTGTTGCAACAGAGGTGGTGGTGCTTGTAAACGTTTCTGTAGTTTGTGTTATCGTTGGTGTTGTAATTGTTGTTGTTGTAGTTGTCGTTGGCGTTGTTGTACTTGGAGTAGTCGTTGTGGTTGTGCTTGTTGTGGATTCTGTTGTTGTGGATTTGGTAGTGGTGCTTTTGATTGTGGTTGTTATTACATTTTCACAGAACATTCCCGAAAATTCTGAACCACAGTGGCAGGTAAATGTGCCGTTTGCCGCATCAGAACATTTTCCATTAAGGCATGGATTGTCCTTACAGGTTGTTGGAATTTCACAGTTCATTCCGCGATATCTATCAATTTGTGTGAAAATAGAACATACATACATATATTTTTGGAAAGCAAACAATTTATACATCTTTTTTTTGTTTAAGCATCGGCTAAATTGAATTAATGCGTAAGTTGAAGAAAAATGAAAACTGTAATTGGTCTAGAGCGTTAATTACTTTATCAGTTAAATCAGGTAAAATATTTTTCAACCCTATCTTTTGAGACGCTGATGATACCTCGGGTGGCAGTTACAGATGTAGCTCCCCGGGGTATTACGACAGGTTCCACCATACAGACATGGGTTCTGCCTACATTCATTTAGATCGATTTCACACCGGTTACCAGTATACCCAGGAGGGCAACAGCAGAAAAAGACATCGTTAGTTGTGTTGCTGAATTTATCCATGGAACAAGTCCCACCATTCTCACAGTGTTGTCCTGCAATTTATTTATTTTAATACATGTAAAACAAATAGTAAGTACTCCTTAAATTAGTAATATTTCTCCAACCATAAGGGATATACTAATTATAAGTTGGAAAATGAAATCTCCGCCTGTTACTAATTATAATATGTATATAGAAATATTGTTTCTTTTGAACCGTATTCAGATGTTATACCTGGACAGCTGCCATCTCCGATTGGTCTAGTACAGTCCTTGCCCTCCCAGCCCTGGTCACAGATTTTTGCCCCGGTGCTCTCGTCACAAGTATAGTGACCTTTACAATCCACGGAGGGGATACAGAACACAGAACATTCATCACCATAGTAGTAAGTCTGGCACTGTATCGCCATTGATAGTCTCAGTCTGGATAAACATTTATACTTGATATGGATCAAGGATAATACGAAAAAACACGCATGAAAAATGATGATTACCTTAATACAGAAAAATCAGTTTTACATTTCTTTCATTTGAAATTTCAAAGTGAATATTTATAATTGAATTATAATATTTTTAAAGTACAGCTATTTGATGATATACCTTGATGGCCTTTTACGTGTTCCATTCAATAGAAGTTCCCGGGATTTTGGAATCTTGCTTCCTTTTTCTGTGTAAATAAACGAGAACCGATCGACGAGTTGTTGTGTGAAGGGACCATCTATGTCTGTTATACTGATGTCTACACGAGCACTTCCCTATAACACGATAAGTAACACAGTTATCTTATATGTCAAGATCATTTTGAAAACTAATATCTGAATTCAGAAATAGATGACTATCATTTAACTATGATCAAACTATCATTATCCAAGGATTTTTAAGTTTTTTTTCTCTTTTTCTTTCATGATACTTCAGGAAAGAAAGGAAATTGTTATCACTTTGTCATAAAACTAGAACTTCTCCCACCCATGTCATGCGGATGTATTTAGAAACATTTTCCCAACATTGTGATTTGAATATATGTTATATGTTAAGTTGAAATAAGTGAATAACAATAAGTACTTAGCAATGATCTCATCAAGTGTTCGACTCTGAATCTCTTTACATAATGCAAGATTTGCTTTTTGCATATACTATGCCAAATGATTTCATCCTGTTTAATTCATAACCTTCCATTCTGTAATAGGCAGTTCTCTTGGTGTCTGATCTAGGAAGACAAGGTCTGGTGGTTGATCTGCATTTAATTCTGCGGATTGACACCAAGTCCTGTTGGGGGAATATATTTATAAATGAGAAGAGGCATTATCTATTTATCTGTTTGTTCAAGAATGATTCATGATTTATATTATAGATTACAAACAAAGAGAAAATCAAAGAAAAACAAAAGAAAAAAAAACAAAGACAGGTTTTAATATATATTTAAAGTATGAATACACGTTCAATCATTCCTGTGTGATTAAATAGAATGAATGCCTATGAAATGGAAATGTTTGTGTTTTGTCAAACAAGAAGTATAACATTTATACGCACTCAATCGATTACATCTACGGTACTTGGCTGTAAGTTAGTCATAATTTCATCTTTGCACTTTGTTTTAATTAAAAAATTTCTTTTTAAAAAATATATTGCAACGTTATATGTAGCTCATTGTTTATGGATATAACATCATAAAAAGCAGAATTATTTGCAGTTTCTTCACAGAATTTCAAAACATTTTTATTTGTAGATGTCGGCGTGAAATCACACATCAAAAGCAAAGTTGAAACTTTATGGCACACTTTTGTTAAGTTACTAATAACTTTGAGGTTAAAATTTTTGACTTGATGATTTCGTAAATTATTTTCAATTTTTCAGTATATCAGATTTTGCAAAGTTTTCAAAGAAAAGGGAAATTTTAAAAATGCTGGATAATTTAGTGGAAAAAAAATTGGATATTGGGCCAAAATTTACCTCACAGTAAGTTTTTTTTTTAAATTCAAATAAATAGAGTTTTTCAATGAAATATACAGAGATAAAATGAAATTAGGACTCACTTATGGCCATATATTGTAGATGTTATGGCTATCAAACATATTATCTTAGGAATAAATGCGACAAATCCGAAAAAAGAAACACACTTCCTTGTTCTGTTTGTCCAAATAATGAATAAAAGTGCAGTGACCCATAACAGGAAACAATTTCTTTTTTGTTTTTGTAAACAGTGTGTTCTATGACTATCAGGCAACTAAAACAAATGTAACCTTTTTGCTGATAAATTCCTCATTGTACATGTATATTCCTTTGAAATATTTTGATGATATTGGTGTAACTATGTATTTTAAGTGTTCAACGACGTCTTCACATTGCATAAAAAGACATTTTCAGATAATTTATTTAAGAGAGGCATATACAAACAATATTTTAAAAGAAATAAATTTTAAATTTTAAATGCTTAGATGAAAATCCCAGTTATGAATCATTTTGATAATGCTTCTTCGAGACAGATATATATTGAGAAACTGAAGGATATGCTGATGCTGTGATATATTCAAAATTTAGGACTATCAAAGTAACAAAAATTTAATTCTTAAAATGAGACAAATGAGAATAAAAAAATGTATTTTTTAATTGAAACAAAGACAAAGCGCTATCATAGAATTTATAATTTCACGTACCATTTCTACTTATTTCAAAACATTGGGGCTATTGTTAAGTTGTTTTTAAAATTGTATTCAATGGCACACATTAATTCTGAATTGACATAAAGTCCTTTTAGAACCACTATAAACAAAGATAAGGATTGTACTCACCCATTTCCATTTGGCGATACACATATTCTGATGACGTAATCACATCTGTCTGAACTGCACTTGTTTGACACGGCGAGTCCATCACAACAGTTTCCATCAAAAAGCTCGCTGTTTGTGTTGTTGTATTCCTTTAGAGTGATAAATAAAGTCGCCCTGGTGCTCTCCTCAAAAAACGGATAAAAAATTGAAGGAAACATGCTTGAAATAAAGCAATTCTTGTAGAGAATGATCAAAGTAAACCCAGATGTAAAACATTGTTTCTTATCAGCAGCAGTATATAAAATTATCAATAGAATATCTATTTGTATATGGTACCATATTTAATTAGATTTCTGGATTTCTGTGAGTTTTTTATTCTTTGATTTTTTTTACATACTTTATTTACGGAGCTTTATGTGATATTGATATAGAATCCCTCGTAGAGGGCCACAAATGTTTAAGGATATGGGATACTAATATCAAAGGATGACTGCACTTAAGGACATGCGAAAATTGCGACAAAATAAACTTTCAAAACAAGCATTTTTCTTATTGCAGGAATCGTCAACATGTAATCTACAACTTCACGTAATTACATTAAACAAAAGTATGTATTTACGATTTACGAAGCTGTTTTCATAGGTGGGGGTCATCACAATATCTTGAATCTCCGTACGATAATGAGGATGCCCACATTTTCACTGACTTTGTACATAGTCAGCGCATGTTTGTCTATTGTTCTCCGTTTAACAGTAGTTGTATACTTGCATTAATGATGTTGTGTCAAAAGGAGATTAATAGACAAACATGAGCTCATGGTTTAAAAGAGAAAAAAACTGCTTCTTCTTAGATTCGCTCTCTCTGTTGTGACCAAGGGCTTTGACATGTAGAATAATATAATTCACCACGTGATTTCTTACCTCAGGTAACTCTGTGAATACTAAATTCCGTCACGTGACTTGTAAGATACCATGTTTTGTGCTAACTAGGACACTCTTCTCGAACACGTTGAATTGTCGGGCATCGATTCAAAATATTCTTTACTTACATGTATGTGCTCATATTGTTAATTTTGTTTTGAAACCTTTGTAAATAAGTAGTGCACTTGAACCATACAGTATAAAGAGAGAGATGGGAAATAGTGATCACGTAATTTAATACATGCCAATTTTATTTACGTAGTCTAATTTTAGAGTCATTCTACAATGTTAGCTCCACCTCTCATGCATACCTAATGTTGAATCAAGGGCAGGTAAGTGTAAAATCTCTATATTTGGAAAGGAGTAGGGACAAAAAAAACCCTAGAATTTTTTATTCCATCACAGTCTAAAATTATTTTAACATTTAAATTTGATGCCAAATTGATAGAAGTCCATAGTGAATATACAAAAGTGAAATAAGATTAAGATATAAAAGCAACAGAAGCGACGGAAAAAGACCCAAAACCCAGCGTTAAGTGCAGTTATCCTTTGTAAAACTGTACAGACTATATTTATTGCTAAAATACACATCTATTACAAGTTTTCCTTTAAAACCATCCTTATTCTGCAATCTTCTTAAGAGAATATATGTATGTATATATATTGAAATCAATATAATGCAAAAACGTGAAAAATTGCTGATACTTCAAGTGGTTTTTCTATATATTATTATTTCTATAGATATATAGAAATAAGAATGTCTTTAAAGAAACTTTGTGATCAATGTGACTTTGTGTTGTAGCAAAAATTAAACCTGTACAGACTGCTTTGCAAATGAATTTTCTAAAACACATAATTAGTATCCTATATCCATAAACTAACAAACTTATACACGTGTAGATGTTTTCTAACAAATCTAACTAAGGAATAGTTTCTATTTATTAACATATATAGTTGTTAACTGTCCCTCCATCCTTTATATTGTCCTTTGTAAGGATGTTAAGCCACTTTATGTAAAGAATTTCCTTTTCCACTGAACACATACTCCTGTTTCCAAGTAAATGTCATTATTTTACCTTCTTTTCTAAAACTGTCCAGACATTGGACATCTAAGTATCTCTGGAAGTTTATTTTCTCCTAGATACAGAACATTATGTCCTATACCTAGCCTCTTCTGGTTCAATACATCCTGTGTTTTGATAATGTTTTTGATAACATCTAGGCTCCATCAATCATTAGACTAGAAAACTTTATTAACAGTATGTACATTTTTTGCATTTTGCATGAGTTACATGTACTTGACATGTTCCCAGATTAAGAAATTTAAAACAATTTTTAACACTTTTTGAATCAAAAATTGGTATGAATGACATAAATTCAATAAAATAAGATACTCTTTGTATCCATTCCGTCTTTTCTTTCAAATGTGTTGATTCCGAAAAAAAAAAAAACAAAATATATTTTCTCTTTGAAATTAAAAGATATGAAAAATCATCTTACCTGCTGCGACAAAGATGTAAAAATACAAAGAAAAAGGGCAATTCCGAAAGCATTCCTTACGATATCCATATTCTTCACAATCAAATAAAAACTCTATTGATATCAGGTCTAATATTTATAATCCATAGTAAAGTTATTTTAACTTGAGATCTGACCAAATTCTGGGGGAGGCGGCATCCGCCTAGTAATTCAGACACGAACTTTATTTCAGCCAGCCCTTTTATGGCATAAACAAATGTAAATAATGAATCAAGCCCGCTTAAATTCTTTTAAACAATGCGTTTAGGTTTCCTAATCTCTTGGACTACTGTTGCAGAGGTGCTGAAGACCTGATAAGCTGGGCGCTTTCTACCACCGGTACTGTGTCTTTTGACGAGGGTTTGTTATCTTCAGTTTGGATAATGATGTGTCATTTGCAGGCTAATAGTTCCTCATTATGTGTGACATAATTAAAACCTAAACAAACTTAACCAAAATATTTTGTTTACAGATAGTGAAATGTAAACGTCTTAATATCTTCATCTGACATGATTATCTTCGTAAAAATATTTTTTACAGAAAAGGAACTTGAATAAAATGCGAAAATAAGTAAAGCCAGAGATACAAAAAAAATTACTGAAATAAATTTTAACTATTTATCCCAAGGACTTTAAAAAATGCAATTATTTTTAAGATGATCAGGATTTTTTTAATGATAACTTTGATAAGCACAAATTAACATTATACAAAGTTCTTTATATATAATCAGAAATTACCTCCTCCCCTTAAAAAAGTTTATTTTACTTATTCTTAGCAATATTTATGCAAAAAATTGGAATAGATAGGACAGCATCTTCTCCATCTATTAACAAATAGTTTGTTAATAATGATGAGAAACTTCCTTTTATGGGATAACATGTTCTGTACAAATGTAATAATTTGTATTTTTGTTTATTAAATTGCTATTCAATGATGTTCTAGTCATATAATTGAGTAGGAAAACAAACTTTGCAATCCAGTTCACACCACCGTTGCTTCTTATGAAAACAAGCAAACGTGAAACTCGAAAATCAATATAGTAGGGCGTAACAAGGTAGAACTAAACACACCCAGCTCTTCACTTGTTTACACTTTATTGTTATCGGTGCTTTTGTTTCTAATGGGATGGAACAGTAAGTTCTACAAATACCACAGATTATCTTCCTAAAATATTAGAGGGATAGATGGCTATGATATTTTGAATATATTGGGTCAGGCTGTGGAAATCCTATCCAACAGTCAACAAAAGTTGAAATGCGCAAAAATAGATATCTGATTAATTTTGTAATGATAGATTATAACCGTTAACATAAGAAAGCTTATAGTGAATGATTAATAGAAGAAGTCCTTCGGGTGTTATTATGTTCTACTTAAACCGGGATCAAGTTTAATGATTTTACGAGTGTCATAGGGTTTCTTTTCTTGGAATTTATATAAATTTGCAATTGCGCGTTGAATTTATTGATAAAACACAGTGCATGGAAGTATGGCTTTCTTTCTCTCAGACCCAACTTTTAAGAATTGTGACAATTAGAATGTGAAAGTTACCAGTACATCATCTTTTCTCTCTGTTGATTGAGCTAGTTTCGTTCTAACCTGAAGAATATTAATTTAGTTCAATTTGCTTTTAGTGTACTTCAATTCAATTGAACTAGGGCTGAAAATTTTGAATTATTTTTAACTTTGCTTCGGATTGGGCATTTGCTTCTGGTTCGGACTGTTTTAGACGTAGAACCTGGTCTGTAACAATGCTACAGTCAAAATGAATCCAACTTACTCTTTAGAAAAGCAGCACATTTTAACAAGGTATGTATTGATTAACACAAGGTTATTATATGCAGTATAAAGAAATAGAGTACTAGCTAAAATATATTCCTTTATCTGGATATTATGAAGGCTTAAAAATATGCTTAATAGATGAAAAAGACAAATGACGGGTGTTTATTTATTATTTTTGAAAATCATTCACTTGAATTTCTTATTTATCTTATCAGATTCGTACTTGCACATAAAGTATTGCTTAGTGACGTTTGGTTTACACACACATAAACCATATAGATATTAGGATTTATATAAACATTTCTAGATGTAAGAAAGTAAAATAAGAAGTCTTCCATCACTCATATTATCTAAAATATCTATTTCAAAGTAATAAAAGAATCGATAAATTGAATATACGAAATATAACATGTATAAATAGGTGTAATTTTAAGCATTGCTAAAGGTGAACTGTCATCGTTATTATAATTCAGGCCCCAAAAAATATCAAAATGTCTCAGCAATGCTAGTCAGTTATCGTGAAATATGAAGATAAAGAACAGTATTCAATCTCGAAAGTCCAATGAAACGATACAAATTTGGAGCAGAGCAAACACGGAATTCAAAATTTAGAGGTGGGATCAGGTGCCATGGAGGAGTGCGCAACCCCTGCCGACCGGTCACACCCGCCGTGTGCTCCTTGTCATCATCGGGGGAAAAAACCCGGAGAAATCCGTAGACAGTTCAGTGTATAAATAATGGCCTAACAATTCTATGAAAAACGTTAGTCAGCATTTGGCTCAATGATAGGTTGTATGTGCTGACAAGGTCATTGTATCGACCGTAAAACTTGCAGAAGGATGACTTCAAACGAGACTGTTGATATCCTTGTTTCATCATCTTGTTTGTCAATAGCTTGCCTCGTTTCAGAAATTGCTCATACGTAGAGCATGCTCTTGTGTATTGAATCAACCGAGAGACATAAACCCCATATGCAGGTGAAAAGGGTATATTGCTACATA